TCATCCGAAGGCAGAGCTGAGAGCGAGTGGCGAGTAGGCAGAGGAGTGGCCTAAGGCGAGGAGTACGTGAAGCCGAAGCGCTGAAGGACCTGCTGCACCATGTGTGACTGAGTCAGGGTAATGGTGCGCTGTGCGCTGTCCCGGGTGATCTGCAAGCCAAGGTAGCTGCGCAGTTCACCCAGGTCTGTGCACGTGTGTCTCTTCTGCAGCTCGGAATTCACGTAGGCGAGTCCAGCAGTGTCAGCTGTGGCAAAGACCAAGTCGTCGACGTACACGAGGATGTAGAACGGCGGCACAGAAGTGTCGCTGCACAGAAACAGCGACGGGTCGGCACTAGAGGGAGCAAACCCAAGAGCCGCAAGCGTAGTCCTCAGTGTGTCGTGCCACTCACGCGGTGCCTGGCGGAGACCGTAGACTAGCCGGCGGAGGCTCCACTGGGTGCAAGGAGGAAAAGTCCTAGTGAAGCCAAGTGGGCGGCGCAACCAGATCTCCTCGTGCAAGCTGCCCTGCAAGAAAGCAGTGCTGAAGTCAAGAGAGTGTAGCTCTTAGTCACGGTGAGCAGCTATGTGCAGCAGTACTGAAGAGTGGTCATCTTTGGGGTGGGAGAGAAGGTCTGAAAGTAGTCAACTCCCTGCCGCTGACTGAAGCCACGAGCCACGTAACGCGCCTTGAATACAGGCGGAGAACCCGGCGGCCGCTTCACCCTGAAAATCCACATGCCACTGACGATGTTCGCCCCAGGCGGGGGAACCTCGTCAACGTAGGTGCCTGTGGACTTCCAGGAAGCCATCTCTGCGTCCATAGCTGCCTGCCACTGAGAGGAGTAGGGACCCTCTATCGCCTCCGCGTAAGAGCGCGGAGTCGGGATGTCAAGTGCATTCGGGTCTCCCTCAGGGGTAAGCAGTACGGACACGAGATGAGGTGAAGCAGCAGCCAAACACTTGAACTCCTCCTGCTTGTCCTCAAGGACGTCCGTGCCAAGGGCACACTCACCCCCGACGGACGGAGGACAGACAGACTCAGACGCAGCAACAAGACTAGCAGCGTAGTCTAGACGACAGCGAGCAGCAAAGTCGACGAGCTCAGCAACTAGGGCAGACGCAGCAGTGGACTCAAAGGAAGGGTCAGTGACAACAGTAGCAAGGAGACGCGTGACACTCGGACTGGCAGTACGAAGGGAGTCCGATTCTGGGTCAGCAAGAGCAGGAAGAGAGGACTCAGGAGGAGAAGGCCAAGGGGCACGCAGAGGAGTAGTGGACGGACGGAGAGACATTCGGCGCGTGCCGGGCACAGGGGGAGGACGCGGACGCGAACCATGACCACTAGCGCGAGCAGCACGGACAGGCGACGCAGGACGAGACGCAGGCTCACGATGCTCAGCAAGACCTCCAGTAGGACCAGTGTAGGGAGAAGGAGCAAGCAGTGGGGAGGCGGGCTGTAACTGTAACTGTGACGGGACAGGCTATGGACACTCTAAGGGAGGAGGAGGACCAGTAGAAGCCGGGAGACCAAGAACCTGCTCAAGGAGCGGAATGAAGTACGGCCGAGGCCGCGCAGCGACTCCAGACACAGCAGGGACAGCTCGAGCACCCCTATCGGTAGCACCAGCGCCAGCAGCACCTCCAGCTCCAGTACCCCCAGCAGCTCGAGTAGCTCCAGGACCTCTAGCAGCACCAGTAGTACCCCCAGCAGGACCGCCTCCAGTACCGCCAGCGCCAACACCCTCTTCAGCTCCAGCTCCAGTCAGACCACGAGAAGATGCATAGGCTCCAGCTCCAGTAGTACTCGCAGGCCTAGCAGCTCCAGTACTCCCAGTACGAACACCTCCGGCTCCAGAAGCAAGCCTCCAGCGCCGGGCAAACCACTCACGCTCCTCCTGTGGAGAGAGTGGCTCCCGTTGAGACGGAGCACCTGGAGAACCTCCAGGTCCAGCACCGCCAGACGCCACACGAGCAGACCGAGCTCCCTTAGGCTCCACACCCCCAGGCTCAGCACCTCCAGGCGTAGCACCCCCAGGGTCAGCACCCCTAGTCGTAGCACCCCCAGGCTCAGCACCCCCAGACTCAGCACCCCGAGGCTCAGCATCCCCAGTCGTAGCACCCTCAGGCTCAGCACCCCCAGGCTCAGTACCCCCAGGCGTAGCACCCACACGCTCAGCACCCCCAGAGTCAGCACCCCCAGGCTCAGTACCCTCAGCAGCACCAGAGTCACCAGCGACCTCCACAGGATCGACTGCGTCTACCTGGGACACACCTGAAGGGGCAGGACCCTGACGGGGAAGGGGGTCTACCGGGGGGGGGACCTGGCACAAGGAAGAGCGGTGGCGGGGGGAGGGACGGAGTGCGGTAGGGGAAGATACGGTAGTAGGGGACCGACTCGTCAAACGTGACGTCCTGGGAGGACAGAACACGGCGAGAGGTGGGGTGTTAGAACTGCCACCCTGGTGCGTCAGGGGGGGAAGCCAAGGAAGACGCAGGGAGCAGCACGAGGGGACAGCTTGTCCGCAGACAAGTCGCGGACAAACGCCCGAGATCCCCAGACACGGAACGCAGACGCATCGCCAACCTTCCCCGTCCACAGCAAAGTTGGGGAGGTCTCCGGCATGGAGACCCTAGGCTGAAGGTTGATCTGATGCGCCGCGTACCGAACCGCAAACGGCCACAGAAAATGGGGGGCAGCCGCATGCATCATGGACGTACGGGCGTTGTCCATGACCATGCCAATGCGGCGCTCAGCAATCCCATTTTGCTGTGGAGAGTCCGGAAGCGTGAACGTTTGGCGAATGCCTCGTGCACGACAGTAGGCTCACAGAAGGCCAGAGGAGAACTCTCAGCCTTTGTCAGAGTGCAGACGCAGAACAAGAAAGTCTGAGCCGAAACTCTTCCTGAGCTAGAGACGGGCAGCGCGGATCCAGTCGATCAACACCTCAGTGACATCACCCTTGCTGCGAAAGGGGAAGACTATGGTGTAACACGAGTAGTCGTCAACCACCAGCAAGAAGTAGCGCTCGTGACTTTGTCCACGGACGCGGGCTGGGCCCCACACGTCCATGTGAAGCTGTCAGATTATAATGCATGTCTAGTCTGTAGTGGGGTACTCAAAAGTGAGTATAACCCTTTTAGGGCTTACTACTTGTATACCCCTCCTTTCTAGTTTCAACACTCTCCTTCTAAAATCTCTCGACATTTTCCTCACCCTACAACTCGAACTTCACCACTAAGTCACTTAAACCCATGGCTCCTAAGCCTACTAAACTCTAGTATCTCAACAGAAGCGTCTATCAAAGTTATTTTATGTAACTGCTTGTGGTTTAGGTGTAGTGTATTTATCTTGTCTTCTGTTTGGTGGTGCACCTCTAGTTTCTTGACTATATGTTGTATCTCTTTGCTATTATTGAACCCTCGTTCTCTCAACTCTTTTCTCCTTTTCAACTTTTCTCAAACTCTACTCACTCGATCCAACTAGCCATGGCTCCTAAGCCTTGCTAGAACTTTAACAGCGTCTACAGCGGGGCCTCTGTCGGAGGAAACTGGGAGGAGTGAGGGGCAGCACGCTGCCGCCCCTCGACACAGGGGACGCAGGTAGGGGCAGGCCCCGGAGGAAAGGGAGGGAGGGACCGGGGAAGACCAGAGACAAGGACACGAGAGGCCATGCCTCGGAGACGAGGCAGGGAGGGGTGACCAAGGCGGTGGTGCCAGAGGAGAGTCTCGTGCGACACGAGGCGACACGAGCAGGGGGCAGACTCAGGACCAGACCTCGATGCTGCAGCAAACACCTGACCCGACGCAGCTGCCTGACCAGACGCAGTGACTGGAGGAGACTCAGTGGTCAGTGTATACATGCTCGACCCCGGCCGACGTCTAAACGTGGCCAAGTGTCGGCCCGTCCGAGCGTCCGTGCAGTGGGTCACCCGCTGGCTCGCAGGAGTGAACTGGTGAACCCCCGCATCTTGTAGGTCAGCACCACTCACCAAGTTCGTAGAGAACGAGGGGAGGTAAAGACCAGACAGGGTGCCAGAGGGGGCCGCCGGACACGGGAGGACAGTGGAGAAGTGAGCAAGGACAGGACCCCCACAGGGGTCTGCCAGAGAGACTGAAACTGGCCGACCAAGCGGCATGAGTGTGGTGCGGTCTCGAAAGAAGGAGCGAGAAGCCCCTGAGTCAAGGGTGAAGGTGTGGGAGGCCGAAGCCGACGCAGTACTGTGAAAAGAGTAAGCAGGAATGAATGAACTATGAATGAAAGCAGTACAAATATGAAACCCTAACTGGGTTGTACCCCCTATGGGATACCCCACTACAGCCTACACAGCAGCATAAGCTATAGATATGTTCTGACACACCCCCATAGGCAAGGTGGGGGAGAACAAGGGGTCACAAGACCAGTCAAGCAAGACAAAGCAAAGCTCAGGGTGGATCACAAAGTCACCACACAGTCCGAGCACAAGAGCAAGGCCAAAGGCCAGTTCACAAGCAAGAGTACAGACATATATATAAAGCTAGACAAGCAAGAGCAGGTATATATATATGTCACAGTACAAGTGAAGTCAAGAGGAGAGCAAGTGAGGCAAGACAGGCACAAGACCCAGCTGGGTGCAGAAGCGCTGATGGTCACAAGGCGCAAGTGCCTTGGTGAACACATCAGCAGTGTTGGCCTCAGAGGCCACGTACGCAAGTCGCAACTGACCACGCTGCTGCAGCTCACGAGCAAGGAAGTAGCGGAGAGCAATGTGCTTCGTTCTGTGCTCCAAGCGCTGCTCTCGACACAAGGCCAGCATAGCCTTGTTGTCTACGTACAGCACTGGAGGAGAACGAGGCGGCTCTCCAAGGTCAGTCAGCAGGTAGGTGAGCCAGCGAAGCTCCTGTGCAGCCATGGCCCCGGCGTAGATCTCAGCCTCACAACTGGAGCCGAGAACCGAAGACGAGCGAGTAGACCGCCACGAGACAGAGCCGGAACCAAGGCTGAAGGTGTAACCCTGTGACGACCGCTGCGTAGCCTGGTCGTCAGCCCAAGAAGCGTCCGCGTGGCCGGTAAGGACCACTGGACTCCGCCCTCCAAGCACTAGCCCCATGCCTGACGTACTGCACAGGTAGCGCAATACCCTCTTCGCTGCAGCCATGTGCTCCGGTCTGTGTCTCCCAGGAGCAACATAGCGTGCAAGAATGCTCAGAGGGTATGCAAGGTCAGGTCGTGTGCAGGTCATCAGGTACATGAGGCAGCCAACAAGCTCCGCATACGGACCACTCGACTCTACGGACTCATCCGAAGGCAGAGCTGAGAGTGAGTGGCGAGTAGGCAGAGGAGTGGCCTGAGGCGAGGAGTACGTGAAGCCGAAGCGCTGAAGGACCTGCTGCACCATGTGTGACTGAGTCAAGGTAATGGTGCGGCGTGCTCTGTCCCGAGTGATCTGCAAGCCAAGGTAGCTGCGCAGTTCACCCAGGTCTGTGCACGTGTGTCTCTTCAACAGCTCGGACTTCACGTAGGCGAGTCCAGCAGTGTCCGCTGTGGCAAAGACCAGGTCGTCGACGTACACGAGGATGTAGAACGGCGGCAGGGAAGTGTCGGTGCGAAGAAACAGCGACGGGTCAGCAGTAGAAGGAGCAAACCCAAGAGCCGCAAGCGTAGTCCTCAGTGTGTCGTGCCACTCACGCGGTGCCTGGCGGAGACCGTAGACTGGCCGTCGGAGGCTCCACTGGGTGCCAGGAGGGAAAGTCCCAGTGAAGCCAGGTGGACGGCGAAGCCAGATCTCCTCGTGCAGGCTACCCTGCAAGAACGCAGTGCTGAAGTCGAGAGAGTGAAGCTCGTAGTCGCGCTGAGCGGCTATGTGCAGCAGCACCCGAAGAGTAGTCATCTTCGGGGTGGGAGAGAAGGTCTGAAAGTAGTCAACTCCCTGCCGCTGACTGAAGCCACGAGCAACGTACCGTGCCTTGAAGACAGGTGGAGAGCCCGGCGGCCGCTTCACCCTGAAGATCCACATGCCACTGACGATGTTCGCCCCAGGAGGGGGAACCGCGTCAACGTAGGTGCCTGTGGACTTCCAGGAAGCCATCTCTGCATCCATAGCTGCCTGCCACTGAGAGGAGTAGGGACCCTCTACGGCCTCCGCGTAAGAACGCGGAGTCGGGATGTCTAGTGCATCCGGGTCTCCCTCAGGGGCAAGCAGTACAGACGCGAGATGAGGTGAAGCAGCCGCTAGACACTGTAACTCCTCCTGCCTGTCCTCTAGGACGTCCGTGCCAAGAGCACACTCACCCCCGACGGACGGAGGACAGACAGACGCAGACTCAGCAACAAGACTAGCAGCGTAGTCGAGACGACAGCGAGCAGCAAAGTCGACGAGCTCAGCGACTAGAGCAGACGCAGCAGTGGACTCAAAAGAGGGGTCAGTGACTACAGTAGCAAGCAGACGCGTGACAGTGGGACTGGCAGCACGAAGAGAGTCCGACTCAGGGTCCGGAAGCGCAGGAAGAGAGGACTCAGGAGGAGAAGGCAAAGGGGCACGCAGAGGAGCAGTGGACGGACGTAAAGACATCCGGTGCGTGCCAGGGACAGGAGGAGGACGCTGACGCGAACTGCGACCACTAGCGCGAGCAGCACGAACAGGCGACGCGGGACGAGACGCAGGCTCACGACGCTCAGCAAGACCTCCAGTAGGACCAGTGTAAGGAGAGGGAGCAGGCAGTGGAGAGGAAGGCTCCAGTAGGGGCTGCGACTGGACAGGCGGTGGACCCTCTACTGGAGGAGAAAGACCAAGAACGTGCTGAAGGAGCGGAACGAAGTACGGCCGAGGCCGCGCGGCAGCTCCAGACTCAGCAGGGACAGCACCAGCACCCTCAGCGACAGCACCAGCGCCACCCACACCTCCAGCGGCAGGACCAACAGCAGCAGGCTCAGCACGAACGCCCTCAGCAGCTCCAGCTCCAGGAGGACCTGCAGGGCCAGCAGCTCCGGGACCGGCTGCACCCGCACCCTCGACGGTCGAAGAAGCTCCAGCTCCAGCTCCAGCAGCACCTCCAGACTCAGCAGCACGCCTCCAGCGGCGAGCAAACCACTCGCGCAGCTCCTGTGGAGAGAGGGGCTCCCGGCGAGACGCAGCAGCAGGAGAAACCCCAGGCTCAGCAGCTCCAGACGCAGCACCCCCAGGCTCAGCAGCTCCCAGCTCAGCACCCCCAGGCTCAGCAGCTCCCGACCCAGCACCCCCAGACCCAGTACCTCCAGGCACAGCACCCCCCGGCTCAGCACCCCCAGGCTCCGCACCCTCCGCAGTAGCACCCTCAGGCCCAGCACCCCCAGCAGTAGCACCCCCAGGCTCAGCACCCGCGCGCACAGCACCCCCAGAGTCAGCACCCCCAGGCTCAGCACCCGCAGCAGCACCAGAGTCACCAGTAACCTCGACCGGGTCAACGGCGTCTACCTGGGACACACCTGAGGGGGCAGGAACCTGAGGGGGGAGGGGGTCTACCGGGGGGGGAACCGGCACAAGGAAGTCCGGGGGAGGGGGGAGGGAAGGAGTGCGGTAGGGGAAGAGACGGTAGAAGGGGACTGACTCGTCGAACGTGACGTCCTGGGAGGACAGAACACGACGAGAGGAGGGGTGGTAAAACTGCCACCCTGGGGCGTCAGTGGGGAAGCCAAGGAAGACACAGGGAGCAGCACGAGGGGACAGCTTGTCCGCAGACAAGTCGCGGACAAACGCCCGAGATCCCCAGACACGGAACACAGACGCATCGCCAACCTTCCCCGTCCACAGCAAGGCTGGGGACATCGCTGGCCGAGAGACCCGGGGGTGAAGGTTGAGCTGATGCGCCGCGTACCTCACCGCAAACGGCCACAGAAAATGGGGGGCAGCCGCATGCATCATGGACGTACGAGCGACATCCATGACCATGCCAATGCGGCGCTCAGCAATCCCATTTTGCTGTGGTGAGTCCGGAAGCGTGAAGGTCTGGCGGATCCCCCGTGCACGACAGTAGTCTCGCAGAAGGCGAGAAGAGAACTCTCCGCCTCTGTCAGAGTGCAGACGCAGAACAGGAAAGTCCGAGCCGAAGCTCTTCCTGAGCTGGAGACGAGCCTCGCGGATCCAGTCGATCAGCACCTCAGTGACCGCACCCTTGCTGCGCAAGGGGAGGACTGTGGTGTAACGCGAGTAGTCGTCAACCACCAACAGGAAGTAGCGCTCGTAACCCTGCCCACGGACGGGGGCTGGGCCCCACACATCCATGTGAAGCGTCTGCAGGGGAGCCTCTGTCGGGGGGAAGTGGGAGGAGTGAGGAGTAGCCCGGAGGCGACCCTCGACACAGGGGACACAGGAAGGTCCTGGCCCGGAGGGGAGAGGAGGGAGAGACTGGGGAAGACCAGAGACAAGGACACGGGAAGCCATGCTCCGAAGACGGGGCAAGGAGGGGTGGCCAAGACGGTGGTGCCACAGGAGCGTCTCGTGAGACAGGAGGCGACAAGAACAGGGGGCAGACTCAGGACCTGACCGGGACGCAGCAGCAAGTACCTGACCCGACGCAGCCACCTGACCAGACTCAGGGACAGGAGGAGACTCAACGGTCAGGGTGTAGAGACTCGACCCCGGCCGACGTGAGAACGTGGCCAGGTGTCGGCCTGTGCGAGCCTCCGTACAGTGGGTCACCCTCTGACGTGCAGGAGTGAACTGGTGAACACCCCCATCCTGCAGGTCCGCTCCACTCACCAAGTTCGTAGAGAACGAGGGAAGGTACAGACCCGACAGGGTGCCCGAAGGGGCAGCCGGACACGGGAGGACAGTGGAGAAGTGAGACAGGACAGGACCCCCAGAGGGGTCAGCAAGGGAGACCGCAACCGGCCTGGCGAGCGGCGAAAGGGTAGTGCGGTCTCGAAAGAAGGAGCGAGAAGCTCCGGAGTCAAGTGTGAAAGTGAGGGAGGACGAGGACGACTCAGTACCTGAGAGCGCAGTCTCACCAGTACCTGAGAGCGCAGACGCACTGGCACCTAGAGCAGCAGCCTCACAAGCACCTAGCGCAGCAGTACCAATGCCCGGGTCGGGCTGAAAACACCGGTAACCCTCATTCTCCTCACTATAATCCACAACATACATAGCAGTAAGGATAGCATCAAAATCAAGATCAAAGATCGCTACACCAGCCCTGAGAAGCTCATCCCAGCGAGGGATCTCACTAGCCCCAGGGAACTGCTGACGCCAAGCGTCCGTCAGGCGGCCAAAGCAGCGCTGGGTGGCGTGGGCACCCCCACACTGCTCACCCGCGCGGTCGCCGGAACGAAGAACGTAGGTGCAGGGACCAGTACCCCCACCCCTCTGACGCCCAGCGTACCACTCACGAAGCTGCTGAGGCGAAGGGATGTCCCGCGAGCGCTGCTGCTGCTGCCGGTGCGAGCGCTGGCCACCACCACCGCCGCTACGCTGCTGGGTACCACCCCGACCAGCTCCACCTCCTCCACCACTACTGCCTCCTCCGCTGCCGCCTCCACTGCCTCCACCTCCGCCGCCTCCACCTCCGCCACTGCCTCCACCACCACCGCTGGCACTGTCAGAACATATCTATAGCTTATACTGCTGTGTAGGCTGTAGTGGGGTATCCCATAGGGGGTACAACCCAGTTAGGGTTTCATATTTGTACTGCTTTCATTCATAGTTCATTCATTCCTGCTTACTCTTTTCACATGGTATAGAGCTAGGTCCCTCCAGGACCGAAATTTTTGGGCCCACCGAAGCGCGCCCCCGAGGCGCGAATTTTTTTTAGCGACCCCTCGAGTCGCTCTCTCCTCTGCGGCCTCGCCGCCCACTCTGTCGCGGCCCCGCCCTGCTCCTTACGCGGCCCCGCCGCCTGCTCCTTACGCGGCCCCGCCCCGGCCCTTACGCGGCCCTTACGCGGCCCCACGCCAGCCCCTTACGCGGCCCTTACGCGGCCCTTACGCGGCCCCGCCCCGGCCCTTACGCGGCCCTTACGCGCCGGCCCCTTACGCTGCCCTTACGCGGCCCTTACGAGGCCACGCCGCCGGCTCCTACGCGGCCCCTCGCCGGCTCCGTACGCGGCCCAGCCCCGGCCCTTTCGTGGCCCCGTCCCCGGCCACTACGCGGCTCCGCGCCGGCTCCTACGCGGCCCTTACGCGGCCCCGCACCGGCCCCTTACGCGGCCCTTACGCGGCCCTTACGCGGCCACACCGCCGGCCTCCTACACGGCCCTGCCCCGGCTCCTATCACAGCCCCGCCCCGGCTCCTACGCGGCCCCGCCTCGTCTCACTCCTACGCGACCCGAGCCGCCTGTCACCGAGCCGCCCGGGACCCGAGCCGCCCTGCAGCCGAGCCGCCCGGGACCCGAGCCGCCCTGCAGCCGAGCCGCCCGGGAGCCGAGCCGCCCTGCACCCGAGCCGCCCTGCATCCGAGCCGCCCTGCACCCGAGCCGCCCTGCCGCCGAGCCGCCCGGGAGCCGAGCCGCTGTACACCTGAGCCGCCCGGTCGCCGTTCTGCTTTTCTGTCGAGCTGCGCGACCTGCCCTGCCTGGTGAGCACAGTCCCACTGTCACTGCATGCTCTCCCCCCTACTGCTTGCACTGCTTCACAGTCGTCGTCATGGCTACCCCTAGTGTCCTATCTTTTGACGCTGAGGGTCGCGCCATTGATTTTGAGGTCTGGTTAGACGACCTGCAGCTGTTCTTACAGTGCGACAGGGCTGACGACCTTTCTCTCTTTGACCTCACCTCTGGCGCCTCTCCTGCCCCTGCTGCTGATGCTGATCCCGCTGTCCGCTCTAAGTGGGCCACCCGCGATGCTGCTGCACGTCTTGCTGTGCGTCGCCACCTCCCTACCTCTGAGCGTGCGCACTTTAGTCAGTACAAGAGTGCTCAGACCTTGTACGACGCTGTAGTTGCGCGCTACTCCTCCCCTGCCACTGCTGCACTGAGCCGTCTCATGCTTCCCTACCTCTTTCCTGACCTCTCTGCCTTTCCCACTGTCGCTGACCTCATTACGCACCTCCGCACTAGTGACACTCGCTACCGCGCCGCCCTTCCTGCTGAGTTCTGCGCTACGAACCCCCCCCCCATGTACATCGCTCTCTACTACGTAGTCGCACGCCTCCCTGACTCCCTTCGCGTCGTCAGGGACCACTTTCTCGCAGTCTGTCCCACCACTCTCACCGTCGACCTCCTCGAGAAGGCCCTCCTTGCAGCGGAGAAGAGCATAGTCGCTGTAGGTGCTTCTCGTGGTGACCCTCGCACCCCCATCTTTGAGGGGTGCTCTCCTTCCCCCTTGCTGCCCTCTGTTGCCTCTGCTGCTGCTGCCGACCTGCTTGGTCTTGAGTCGGTCGGCGCGGCGTCTGCCCCTAGTGGGAGACGTCGCTCCAGCAAGGGCAAGGGGGGCAAGGGCGCGGGTGGAGCTGGAGGGGGCGGTGGCGGTGGCGGCGGTGGCGGCGGAGGGAGTGGGGGTGGCGGCGGGGCTAGTGGCGGAGGTGGTGGTGGTGGTGGCGGCAGCAGCGGCGGAGATGGTGGTGGTGGTGCCAGCGGTGGTGGTGGAGGCAGCGGCGGAGGTGGAGGCGGCGGAGGTGGAGGCAGTGGAGGCGGCAGCGGAGGGGGCAGTAGTGGTGGAGGAGGTGGAGCTGGTCGGGGTGGTACCCAGCAGCGTAGCGGCGGTGGTGGTGGCCAGCGCTCGCACCGGCAGCAGCAGCAGCGCTCGCGGGACATCCCTTCGCCTCAGCAGCTTCGTGAGTGGTACGCTGGGCGTCAGAGGGGTGGGGGTACTGGTCCCTGCACCTACGTTCTTCGTTCCGGCGACCGCGCGGGTGAGCAGTGTGGGGGTGCCCACGCCACCCAGCGCTGCTTTGGCCGCCTGACGGACGCTTGGCGTCAGCAGTTCCCTGGGGCTAGTGAGATCCCTCGCTGGGATGAGCTTCTTAGGGCTGGTGTAGCGATCTTTGATCTCGATTTTGATGCTATCCTTACTGCTATGTATGTTGTGGATTATAGTGAGGAGAATGAGGGTTACCGGTGTTTTCAGCCCGACCCGGGCATTGGTACTGCTGCGCTAGGTGCTTGTGAGGCTGCTGCTCTAGGTGCCAGTGCGTCTGCGCTCTCAGGTACTGGTGAGACTGCGCTCTCAGGTACTGAGTCGTCCTCGTCCTCCCTCACTTTCACACTTGACTCCGGAGCTTCTCGCTCCTTCTTTCGAGACCGCACTACCCTTTCGCCGCTCGCCAGGCCGGTTGCGGTCTCCCTTGCTGACCCCTCTGGGGGTCCTGTCCTGTCTCACTTCTCCACTGTCCTCCCGTGTCCGGCTGCCCCTTCGGGCACCCTGTCGGGTCTGTACCTTCCCTCGTTCTCTACGAACTTGGTGAGTGGAGCGGACCTGCAGGATGGGGGTGTTCACCAGTTCACTCCTGCGCGTCAGAGGGTGACCCACTGCACGGAGGCTCGCACAGGCCGACACCTGGCCACGTTCTCACGTCGGCCGGGGTCGAGTCTCTACACCCTGACCGTTGAGTCTCCTCTTGTCCCTGAGTCTGGTCAGGTGGCTGCGTCGGGTCAGGTACTTGCTGCTGCGTCCCGGTCAGGTCCTGAGTCTGCCCCCTGTTCTTGTCGCCTCCTGTCTCACGAGACTCTCCTGTGGCACCACCGTCTTGGCCACCCCTCCTTGCCCCGTCTTCGGAGCATGGCTTCCCGTGTCCTTGTCTCTGGTCTTCCCCAGTCTCTCCCTCCTCTCCCCTCCGGGCCAGGACCTTCCTGTGTCCCCTGTGTCGAGGGTCGCCTCCGGGCTACTCCTCACTCCTCCCACTTCCCCCCGACAGAGGCTCCCCTGCAGACGCTTCACATGGATGTGTGGGGCCCAGCCCCCGTCCGTGGGCAGGGTTACGAGCGCTACTTCCTGTTGGTGGTTGACGACTACTCGCGTTACACCACAGTCCTCCCCTTGCGCAGCAAGGGTGCGGTCACTGAGGTGCTGATCGACTGGATCCGCGAGGCTCGTCTCCAGCTCAGGAAGAGCTTCGGCTCGGACTTTCCTGTTCTGCGTCTGCACTCTGACAGAGGCGGAGAGTTCTCTTCTCGCCTTCTGCGAGACTACTGTCGTGCACGGGGGATCCGCCAGACCTTCACGCTTCCGGACTCACCACAGCAAAATGGGATTGCTGAGCGCCGCATTGGCATGGTCATGGATGTCGCTCGTACGTCCATGATGCATGCGGCTGCCCCCCATTTTCTGTGGCCGTTTGCGGTGAGGTACGCGGCGCATCAGCTCAACCTTCACCCCCGGGTCTCTCGGCCAGCGATGTCCCCAGCCTTGCTGTGGACGGGGAAGGTTGGCGATGCGTCTGTGTTCCGTGTCTGGGGATCTCGGGCGTTTGTCCGCGACTTGTCTGCGGACAAGCTGTCCCCTCGTGCTGCTCCCTGTGTCTTCCTTGGCTTCCCCACTGACGCCCCAGGGTGGCAGTTTTACCACCCCTCCTCTCGTCGTGTTCTGTCCTCCCAGGACGTCACGTTCGACGAGTCAGTCCCCTTCTACCGTCTCTTCCCCTACCGCACTCCTTCCCTCCCCCCTCCCCCGGACTTCCTTGTGCCGGTTCCCCCCCCGGTAGACCCCCTCCCCCCTCAGGTTCCTGCCCCCTCAGGTGTGTCCCAGGTAGATGCCGTTGACCCGGTCGAGGTTACTGGTGACTCTGGTGCTGCTGCGGGTGCTGAGCCTGGGGGTGCTGACTCTGGGGGTGCTGTGCGCGGGGGTGCTGAGCCTGGGGGTGCTACTGCTGGGGGTGCTGGGCCTGAGGGTGCTACTGCGGAGGGTGCGGAGCCTGGGGGTGCTGAGCCGGGGGGTGCTGTACCTGGAGGTGCTGGGTCTGGGGGTGCTGGGTCGGGAGCTGCTGAGCCTGGGGGTGCTGAGCTGGGAGCTGCTGAGCCTGGGGGTGCTGCGTCTGGAGCTGCTGAGCCTGGGGTTTCTCCTGCTGCTGTGTCTCGCCGGGAGCCCCTCTCTCCACAGGAGCTGCGCGAGTGGTTCGCTCGCCGCTGGAGGCGTGCTGCTGAGTCTGGAGGTGCTGCTGGAGCTGGAGCTGGAGCTTCTTCGACCGTCGAGGGTGCGGGTGCAGCCGGTCCCGGAGCTGCTGGCCCTGCAGGTCCTCCTGGAGCTGGAGCTGCTGAGGGCGTTCGTGCTGAGCCTGCTGCTGTTGGTCCTGCCGCTGGAGGTGTGGGTGGCGCTGGTGCTGTCGCTGAGGGTGCTGGTGCTGTCCCTGCTGAGTCTGGAGCTGCCGCGCGGCCTCGGCCGTACTTCGTTCCGCTCCTTCAGCAGGTTCTTGGTCTTTCTCCTCCAGTAGAGGGTCCACCGCCTGTCCAGTCGCAGCCCCTACTGGAGCCTTCCTCTCCACTGCCTGCTCCCTCTCCTTACACTGGTCCTACTGGAGGTCTTGCTGAGCGTCGTGAGCCTGCGTCTCGTCCCGCGTCGCCTGTTCGTGCTGCTCGCGCTAGTGGTCGCAGTTCGCGTCAGCGTCCTCCTCCTGTCCCTGGCACGCACCGGATGTCTTTACGTCCGTCCACTGCTCCTCTGCGTGCCCCTTTGCCTTCTCCTCCTGAGTCCTCTCTTCCTGCGCTTGCGGACCCTGAGTCGGACTCTCTTCGTGCTGCCAGTCCCACTGTCACGCGTCTGCTTGCTACTGTCGTCACTGACCCCTCTTTTGAGTCCACTGCTGCGTCTGCTCTAGTCGCTGAGCTCGTCGACTTTGCTGCTCGCTGTCGTCTCGACTACGCTGCTAGTCTTGTTGCTGAGTCTGCGTCTGTCTGTCCTCCGTCCGTCGGGGGTGAGTGTGCTCTTGGCACGGACGTCCTAGAGGACAGGCAGGAGGAGTTACAGTGTCTAGCGGCTGCTTCACCTCATCTCGCGTCTGTACTGCTTGCCCCTGAGGGAGACCCGGATGCACTAGACATCCCGACTCCGCGTTCTTACGCGGAGGCCGTAGAGGGTCCCTACTCCTCTCAGTGGCAGGCAGCTATGGATGCAGAGATGGCTTCCTGGAAGTCCACAGGCACCTACGTTGACGCGGTTCCCCCTCCTGGGGCGAACATCGTCAGTGGCATGTGGATCTTCAGGGTGAAGCGGCCGCCGGGCTCTCCACCTGTCTTCAAGGCACGGTACGTTGCTCGTGGCTTCAGTCAGCGGCAGGGAGTTGACTACTTTCAGACCTTCTCTCCCACCCCGAAGATGACTACTCTTCGGGTGCTGCTGCACATAGCCGCTCAGCGCGACTACGAGCTTCACTCTCTCGACTTCAGCACTGCGTTCTTGCAGGGTAGCCTGCACGAGGAGATCTGGCTTCGCCGTCCACCTGGCTTCACTGGGACTTTCCCTCCTGGCACCCAGTGGAGCCTCCGACGGCCAGTCTACGGTCTCCGCCAGGCACCGCGTGAGTGGCACGACACACTGAGGACTACGCTTGCGGCTCTTGGGTTTGCTCCTTCTACTGCTGACCCGTCGCTGTTTCTTCGCACCGACACTTCCCTGCCGCCGTTCTACATCCTCGTGTACGTCGACGACTTGGTCTTTGCCACATCGGACACTGCTGGACTCGCCTACGTGAAGTCCGAGCTGCTGAAGAGACACACGTGCACAGACCTGGGTGAACTGCGCAGCTACCTTGGCTTGCAGATCACTCGGGACAGAGCACGCCGCACCATTACCTTGACTCAGTCACACATGGTGCAGCAGGTCCTTCAGCGCTTCGGCTTCACGTACTCCTCGCCTCAGGCCACTCCTCTGCCTACTCGCCACTCACTCTCAGCTCTGCCTTCGGATGAGTCCGTAGAGTCGAGTGGTCCGTATGCAGAGCTTGTCGGCTGCCTCATGTACCTGATGACCTGCACACGACCTGACCTTGCATACCCTCTGAGCATTCTTGCACGCTATGTTGCTCCTGGGAGACACAGACCGGAGCACATGGCTGCAGCGAAGAGGGTATTGCGCTACCTGTGCAGTACGTCGGGCATGGGGCTAGTGCTTGGAGGGCGGAGTCCAGTGGTCCTTACCGGCCACGCGGACGCTTCTTGGGCTGACGACCAGGCTACGCAGCGGTCGTCACAGGGTTACACCTTCAGCCTTGGTTCCGGCTCTGTCTCGTGGCGGTCTACTCGCTCGTCTTCGGTTCTCGGCTCCAGTTGTGAGGCTGAGATCTACGCCGGGGCCATGGCTGCACAGGAGCTTCGCTGGCTCACCTACCTGCTGACTGACCTTGGAGAGCCGCCTCGTTCTCCTCCAGTGCTGTACGTAGACAACAAGGCTATGCTGGCCTTGTGTCGAGAGCAGCGCTTGGAGCACAGAACGAAGCACATTGCTCTCCGCTACTTCCTTGCTCGTGAGCTGCAGCAGCGTGGTCAGTTGCGACTTGCGTACGTGGCCTCTGAGGCCAACACTGCTGATGTGTTCACCAAGGCACTTGCGCCTTGTGACCATCAGCGCTTCTGCACCCAGTTGGGTCTTGTGCCTGTCTTGCCTCACTTGCTCTCCTCTTGACTTCACTTGTACTGTGACATATATATATACCTGCTCTTGCTTGTCTAGCTTTATATATATGTCTGTACTCTTGCTTGTGAACTGGCCTTGGCCTTGCTCTTGTGCTCGGACTGTGTGGTGACTTTGTGATCCACCCTGAGCTTTGCTTTGTCTTGCTTGACTGGTCTTGTGACCCCTTGTTCTCCCCCACTTTGCCTATGGGGGTGTGTCAGAACATATCTATAGCTTATACTGCTGTGTAGGCTGTAGTGGGGTATCCCATAGGGGGTACAACCCAGTTAGGGTTTCATATTTGTACTGCTTTCATTCATAGTTCATTCATTCCTGCTTACTCTTTTCACAGGCACCACCACCACCGTCTCCGCCGCTGCTGCCGCCACCACCACCACCACCCCCGCCACTAGCCCCGCCGCCACCCCCACTCCCTCCGCCGCCACCGCCGCCACCGCCACCGCCCCCTCCAGCTCCACCCGCGCCCTTGCCCCCCTTGCCCTTGCTGGAGCGACGTCTCCCACTAGGGGCAGACGCCGCGCCGACCGACTCAAGACCAAGCAGGTCGGCAGCAGCAGCAGAGGCAACAGAGGGCAGCAAGGGGGAAGGAGAGCACCCCTCAAAGATGGGGGTGCGAGGGTCACCACGAGAAGCACCTACAGCGACTATGCTCTTCTCCGCTGCAAGGAGGGCCTTCTCGAGGAGGTCGACGGTGAGAGTGGTGGGACAGACTGCGAGAAAGTGGTCCCTGACGACACGAAGGGAGTCAGGGAGGCGTGCGACTACGTAGTAGAGAGCGATGTACATGGGGGGGGGGTTCTTAGCGCAGAACTCAGCAGGAAGGGCGCCGCGGTAGCGAGTGTCACTAGTGCAGAGGTGCGTAATGAGGTCAGCGACAGTGGGAAAGGCAGAGAGGTCAGGAAAGAGGTAGGGAAGCATGAGACGGCTCAGTGCAGCAGTGGCAGGGGAGGAGTAGCGCGCAACTACAGCGTCGTACAAGGTCTGAGCACTCTTGTACTGACTAAAGTGCGCACGCTCAGAGGTAGGGAGGTGGCGACGCACAGCAAGACGTGCAGCAGCATCGCGGGTGGCCCACTTAGAGCGGACAGCGGGATCAGCATCAGCAGCAGGGGCAGGAGAGGCGCCAGAGGTGAGGTCAAAGAGAGAAAGGTCGTCAGCCCTGTCGCACTGTAAGAACAGCTGCAGGTCGTCTAACCAGACCTCAAAATCAATGGCGCGACCCTCAGCGTCAAAAGTTAGGACACTAGGGGTAGCCATGACGACGACTGTGAAGCAGTGCAAGCAGTAGGGGGGAGAGCACGCAGTGACAGTGGGACTGTGCTCACCAGGCAGGGCAGGTCGCGCAGCTCGACAGAAAAGCAGAACGGCGACCGGGCGGCTCAGGTGTACAGCGGCTCGGCTCCCGGGCGGCTCGGCGGCAGGGCGGCTCGGGTGCAGGGCGGCTCGGCTCCCGGGCGGCTCGGCTGCAGGGCGGCTCGGGTGCAGGGCGGCTCGGCTGCAGGGTGGCTCGGGTCCCGGGCGGCTCGGCTGCAGGGCGGCTCGGCTCCCGGGCGGCTCGGCTGCAGGGCGGCTCGGGTCCCGGGCGGCTCGGCTCCCGGGCGGCTCGGCTGCAGGGCGGCTCGGGTCCCGGGCGGCTCGGTGACAGGCGGCTCGGGTCGCGTAGAAGTGAGACGGGGCGGGGCCGCGTCAGGGCCGGCGGTAGGGCCGCGTAGGAGCCGGGGCAGGGCCGCGAAGGAGCCGGGGCGGGGCTGTGATAGGAGCCGGGGCAGGGCCGCGTAGGAGGCCGGCGGTGTGGCCGCGTAAGGGCCGCGTAAGGGCCGCGTAAGGGGCAGGTGCGGGGCCGCGTAAGGGCCGCGTAGGAGCCGGCGCGGAGCCGCGTAGTGGCCGGGGACGGGGCCACGAAAGGGCCGGGGCTGGGCCGCGTAAGGAGCCGGCGAGGGGCCGCGTAGGAGCCGGCGGCGTGGCCGCGTAAGGGCCGCGTAAGGGCCGCGTAAGGGGCCGGCGCGTAAGGGCCGCGTAAGGGCCGGGGCGGGGCCGCGTAAGGGCCGCGTAAGGGCCGCGTAAGGGGCTGGCGTGGGGCCGCGTAAGGGCCGCGTAAGGGCCGGGGCGGGGCCGCGTAAGGAGCAGGCGGCGGGGCCGCGTAAGGAGCAGGGCGGGGCCGCGACAGAGTGGGCGGCGAGGCCGCAGAGGAGAGAGCGACTCGAGGGGTCGCTAAAAAAAAAAAAATTCGCGCCTCGGGGGCGCGCTTCGGTGGGCCCAAAAATTTCGGTCCTGGAGGGACCTAGCTCTATACCATGTGAAAAGAGTAAGCAGGAATGAATGAACTATGAATGAAAGCAGTACAAATATGAAACCCTAACTGGGTTGTACCCCCTATGGGATACCCCACTACAGCCTACACAGCAGCATAAGCTATAGATATGTTCTGACAAGTACCTGAGAGAGCAGACTCACCAGCACCTGAGGAAGCACACGCACTGGCACCTAAAGGAGCAACCTCGCTAGCACCTAGAGCAGCAGCCTCACCAGTACCTAGAGCAGCAGTCCCAATGCCCGGATCGGGCGGAAAACACCGGTAACAGTCTTTCTCATCACTAATAGTCACAGCATACATGGCAGCAAGAATAGCATCAAAGTCAAGGTCAAAGATAGCTACTCCCGCCCTAGACAGCTCGCCCCAGCGAGGGATCTCAGCGGCCTCAGGAAACTGGTGACGCCAAGCGTCCGCCAGGCGGCCAAAGCAGCGCTGGGTGGAGTGCGCACCCCCGCAAGGCTCACCCGCGCGGTCGCCGGTGCGTAGGACGTAGGTGCACGGACCAGTACCCCCACCCCGCTGGCGTGCAGCGTACCACTCACGAAGCTGCTGAGGGGGGGGGGGGATCTCACGAGTACGTTGCTGCTGCTACTGGCGCTGACCACCACCGGAGCCGACCCTCTGCGCAGCGCCACCCCAACCAGCTCCACCTCCTCCGCCGCCGCCTCCTCCACCGCCGCCACCTCCACCGCCGCCACCTCCGCCACCTCCGCTCCCACCGCCACCGCCGCCGCCACCTCCGCCTCCACTGCCGCCACCGATGCTCCCACCCCCGCCACCACCCCCACCGCCACCCCGACCCCCTCCGCCACCTCCACCGCCACCTCCACCGCCCTCGCTAGCTCCTCCACCGCCCCTGCCCCCCTTGTCCTTGCCAGTGCGGCGTCTCCCGCTAGGGGCAGACGCCGCACCGATCGACTCAAGACCAACGAGTTCGGCCGCAGCAGCAGAGGCAACAGAGGGCAAGAGAGTAGAGGGGGAGCACCCCTCAAAGACAGGGGCACGAGGGTCACCAGGAGAGGCTCCTACAGCGACTATGCTCTTCTCTGCTGCTAGGAGGCGCTCCTCGAGGAGGTCAACGGCGAGGGTGGTGGGGCAAACAGAGAGGAAGTGGTCCCTGACCGGGTGAAGGGTGTCAGGGAGACGGGTGACTATGTAGTAGAGGGTGATGTACATGGGGGGGGTTCTTGGCGCAGAACTCAGCGGGAAGGGCAGCGCGGTAGCGAATGTCACTAGTGCGAAGGTGCGTAATGAGGTCAGCGACTGTGGGAAAAGCAGCGAGGTCAGGGAAGAGGTACGGCAGGATGAGGCGGCTAAGTGCAGCAGTGGCAGGGGAAGAGTAGCGTGCAACTACAGCGTCGTACAAGGTCCTAGCACTCTTGTACTGGCTAAAGTGCGCACGCTCAGAGGTAGGCAAGTGGCGACGCACAGCAAGACGTGCAGCAGCATCGCGTGTGGCCTACTGTGAGCGAACAGTGGCGTCAGCATCAGCAGCAGGGGCAGGAGAGGCACCAGAAGTGAGGTCAAAGAGGGAGAGACCGTCTGCCCTATCGCACTGTAAGAAAAGCTGCAGGTCATCTACCCAGACGTCAAAGTCAATGGCCCGACCCTCAGCGTCAAAAGCGAGGACGCTAGGGGTAGCCATGACAGCAGTAGACTAGCAGCGCGAGCAGTAGGCTAAGGGCAGCGCAGTGGTAGAGGTGCCGCTCTTACCGGACAGGGCGGCTCGGGCGGCTCGGTGGTTCGGCGGCTCGGTAGCAACTGCAGCTTGGCGGCTCGGCGGCTCGGGCGGCTCGGGTGGCTCGGCAGCAGCGGCGACTCGGCGGCTCGGGCGGCTCAGGTGGCTCGGGCGGCTTGGCAGTAGCGGCGGCTCGGCAGCACAGCGGCAACGGCGGCTCAGCGGCGCCGGCGGCTCGGTGGTGACGGCGGGGCCGCGTAGGGTGGCAGGGCCGCTGAAGGGACGGCGGTGGGGCCGGGTGGGGCGGCGACGAGGCCGCTGAGGGCGGCGGCGGGGCCACGAAGGGTGGCGACTGGCGCCTTAAGGGTGGGGCCGCGGAGTCGCAAGGGTGGGGCGACGGGGCCAGCAGAGGCGGTGCCGGGGCCGGAAGAGCGGCGGGGCCGCAAGGGTAGGCGACGGGGCCGCGAGGGCGGCGTGGAGGGGTCGCTAGGGCGGCTCGAAGAGGCCGCAAGGGCGGCGCGAAAGGGTCGCAAGGGCGACGCGACGCGACGGGGCCGCGAGGGCGATGGAACGGGGCCGCGTGGGCGGCGCGACGAGGCCGCGAGGGCGGCGCGACGTGATGAGGCCGCGAGGGCGGCGCGATGGGGTCGCAAGGGCGACTCGACGGGGCCGCTAGGGAGGCGCGACGCGACGGGGCCGCTAAGGCGGCGCGACGGGGTCGTAAGGGCGGCGCGACGGGGTCGTGAGAGGGGAGCGCGACTCGGGCAGAGGCTGGACGCGCTCCGGGCAGGAAAAAATAAAATCGGTGGGCCCTAGGAACAGTTCCCACAGAGAACCTACTCTATACCATGTGAAATTGAACGAGAATGAAAAGACTAAGGGAAAGTTGGGTACAAGTACAAACCCTAGAAAACTGTACCCCATATGTGCTACCCCACTATAGCCTACAGCAGCTATGTCATATAAATCTGACACCTTAGGCTCCACACCCCCAGGCTCAGCACCCCCAGGCTCAGCACCCCCAGACTCAGCACCCCCAGGCTCAGCACCCCCAGACTCAGCACCCCCAGGCTCAGCACCCCCAGGCCCCGCACCCGCAGGCTCAGCACCCCGAGCAGCACCAGAGTCAACAGCTACCTCGACAGGCTCGACTGCGTCAACCTAGGTCAAACCGGAGGGGGCAGGACCCTGAGGGGGAAGGGGGTCTACCGGGGGGGACCTGGCGCGAGGAAGAGCGGCGGCGGGGGGAGGGGCGCAGTGCGGTAGGGGAAGAGACGGTAGTAAGGAACCGACTCGTCAAAGGTGACGTCCTGGGAAGACAGAACACGACGCGAGGTGGGGTGGTAAAACTGCCAACCAGGCGCGTCAGGGGGGAAGCCAAGGAAGACGCAGGGAACGGCACGGGGGGACAGCTTGTCCGTAGACAAGTCGCGGACAAAAGCCCGAGATCCCCAGATACGAAACACAGACACATTGCCAACATATATATATAAGGTTAGACAAGCAAGAGCAGGTATATATATATGTAACAGTACAAGCAAGGTCAAGAGGTGAGCAAGTGAGGCAAGATAGGTACAAGACCCAGCTGGGTGCAGAAGCGCTGATGATCACAAGGCGCAAGTGCCTTGGTGAAGACATCAGCAGTGTTGGCCTCAGAGGCCACGTACGCAAGCCGCAACTGACCACGCTGCTGTAGCTCACGAGCAAGGAAGTAGCGAAGAGCAATGTGCTTTGTTCTGTGCTCCAGTCTCTGCTCTCGACACAAGGCCAGCATGGCCTTGTTGTCTACGTACAGGACCGGAGGAGAACGAGGCGACTCTCCAAGGTCGGTCAGCAGGTAGGTGAGCCAGCGAAGCTCCTGTGCAGCCATGGCCCCGGCGTAGATCTCAGCCTCACAAATGGAGCCGAGAACAAAAGACGAGCGAGTAGCCCGCCACGAAACAGAGCCCGAACCAAGGCTGAAGGTGTAACCCTGTGACGACCGCTGCGTAGCCTGGTCGTCAGCCCAAGAAGCTTCCGCATGCCCAGTGAGGACTACTGGACTCCGCCCTCCAAGCACTAGCCCCATGCCCGACGTACTGCACAAGTAGCGCAACACCCTCTTCGCTGCAGCCATGTGCTCTGGTCTGTGTCTCCCAGGAGCAACATAGCGTGCGAGAATGCTAAGAGGGTATGCAAGGTCAGGTTGTGTGCAGGTCATCAGGTACATGAGATAGCCAACAAGCTCTGGATACGGGCCACTCGACTCTACGGACTCATCGGAAGGCAGAGCTGAGAGCGAGTGGCGAGTAGGCAGAGGAGTGGCCTGAGGCGAGGAGTACGTGAAGCCGAAGCACTGAAGGACCTGCTGCACCATGTGTGACTGAGTCAGGGTAATGTTGCGCTGTGCTCTGTCCCGGGTGATCTGCAAGCCAAGGTAGCTGCGCAGTTCACCCAGGTCTGTGCACGTGTGTCTCTTCTGCAGCTCGGACTTCACGTAGGCGAGTCCAGCAGTGTCAACTGTGGCAAAGACAAAGTCGTCGACGTACACGAGGATGTAGAACGGCGGCAGAGAAGTGTCGGTGCGCAGAAACAGCGACGGGTCGGCAGTAGAAGGAGCAAACCCAAGAGCCGCAAGCGTAGTCCTCAGTGTGTCGTGCCACTCACGTGGCGCCTGGCGGAGACCATAGACTAGACGCCGCAGGCTCCACTTGGTACCAGGAGGAAAAGACCCAGTGAAGCCAGGTGGGCGGCGCAGCCAGATCTCCTCGTGCAGGCTGCCCTGCAAGAAAGCTGTGCTGAAGTCGAGAGAGTGCAGCTCGTAGTCACGGTGAGCAGCAACGTGCAGCAGTACCCGAAGAGTGGTCATCTTCGGGGTGGGAGAGAAGGTCTGAAAGTAGTCAACTCCCAGCCGCTTACTGAAGCCACGAGCCACGTAACGCGCCTTGAAGACAGGCGGAGAACCCGGCGGCCGCTTCACCCTGAAGATCCACATGCCACTGACGATGTTCGCCCCAGGAGGGGGGACAGCGTCAACGTAGGTGCCTGTGGACTTCCAGGAAGCCATCTCTGCATCCATAGCTGCCTGCCATTGAGAAGAGTAAGGACCCTCTATCGCCTCCGCGTAAGAGCGCGGAGTCGGGATGTCAAGTGCATCCGGGTCTCCCTCAGGGGTAAGCAGTACGGACACGAGATGAGGTGAAGCAGCGGCCAAGCACTGGAACTCCTCCTGCCTGTCGTCAAGGACGTCCGTGCCAAGGGCACACTCACCCCCGAGCGTAGTCTAGGCGAGAGCGAGCAGCAAAGTCGACGAGCTCAGCAACTAGGGCAGACGCAGCAGTGGACTCGAAAGAAGGGTCAGTGACGACAGTAGCCAGGAGACGCGTGACAGTAGGACTGGCAGCACGAAGAGAGTCCGACTCCGGGTCGGCAAGTGCAGGAAGAGAGGACTCAGGAGGAGAAGGCAAAGGGGCACGCAGAGGAGCAGTGGACGGACGCAGAGACATCCTGTGCGTGCCAGGGACAGGAGGAGGACGCTGACGCGAACCACAACCACTAGCACGAGCAGCACGGACAGGCGACGCAGGGCGAGACGCAGGCTCACGACGCTCAGTAAGACCTCCAGTAGGACCACTGTAGGGAGAAGGAGCAGGCAAAGGGGAGGTAGGCGGCAACTGTAACTGTGACGGGACTGGCTGTGGACACTCTAAAGAAGGCAGAAGACCAAGAACCTGCTGCAGGAGTGGAACGAAGTACGGTCGAGGCCGCGCGGCGACGCCAAACACAGCAGGTACAGCACCAGTACCCCCAGCAGGAGCACTCGCTCCAGCTGCACCACCAGCAGCGCCACAACCTCCAGCAGTACCAGGAGTACCCGCAGTAGGACCGCCAGCAGTAGTCTCAGCTCCAACACCTTCAGCAGCACCAGCTCCAGTCGAACCCGCAGGCCTAGTAGCTCCAGTACTCCCAGGACGAACACGGCCGGGACCCACGACAGTAGCACCCTTAGTAGCCAAAGAACCTCCAGCACCAGCAGCACGCCTCCAGCTCCGGGCAAACCACTCGCGCAGCTCCCATGGAGAGAATGGCTCCCGCAGAGACGAAGCACCCGGAGAACCTCCAGGCGGAGCACCTCCAAGCTCAGCACCCCCAGGCTCAGCACACCCAGGCTCAGCACCCCGAGGCTCAGCACCCCCAGGCTCAGCATCCCCAGGCGCAGCACCCCCAGAGTCAGCACCCCCAGGCTCAGCACCCCTAGTCGCAGTACACCTAGGCTCAGCACCCCCAGGCTCAGCACCCCCAGACTCAGCACCCCCAGAGTTAGCACCCCCAGGCTCAGCACCCTCAGCAGCACCAGAGTCACTAGTGACCTCGACAGGCTCGACTGCGTCTACCTGGGACACACCTGAAGGGGATGGAACTTGAGGGGGGAGGGGGTCTACCGGAGGGGGACCTGGTACAAGGAAGAGCGGCGGCGGGGGGAGGGACGGAGTGCGGTAGGGGAAGAGGCGGTATTAGGGGACCGACTCGTCAAACGTGACGTCCTAGGAGGACAGAACACGGCGAGAGGTGGGGTGGTAGAACTGCCACCCAGGCGCTTCAGGAGGGAACCCCAGGAAGACGCAAGGAGCAGCACGAGGGGATTGCTTGTCCGCAGACAGGTCGCGGACAAACGCCCGAGATCCCCAGACCCGGAACGCCGACACATCGCCAACCTTCCCCGTCCACAACAAGGCTGTGGAGGTCTCCGGCCTGGAGACCCTGGGGTGTAGGTTGATTTGATGCGCCGCGTACCTCACCGCAAACGACCACAGAAAATGGGGAGCAGCCGCATGCATCATAGACGTACGAGCGACGTCCATGACCATGCCAATGCGGCGCTCAGCAATCCCATTTTGTTGCGGGGAGTCCGGAAGCGTGAAGGTCTGACGGATTCCTCGTGCGCGACAGTAGGATCTCAGAAGGCCAAAAGAAAACTCTCCGCCTCTGTCCGAGTGCAGACGCAGAACAGGAAAGTCCGAGCCAAAGCTCTGCCTGAGCTGGAGACGAGCTGCGCGGATCCAGTCGATCAGCACCTCAGTGACATCACCTTTGCTGCGCAAGGGGAAGACTGCGGTGTAACGCGAGTAGTCGTCAACAACGAGCAGGAAGTAGCGCTCGTGACCCTGTCCACGGAAGCGGGCTGGGCCCCACACGTCCATGTGAAGCGTCTGCAACAGGGCCTCTGTCGGAGGAAACTGGGAGGAGTGAGGGGCAGTCCGCTGGTTCCCCTCGACACAGGGGACACAGGTAGGGCCAGGGCCGTGAGGAAGGGGAGGAAGGGACCGGGGGAGACCAGAAACAAGAAGACGGGAGGCCATGCCTCTGAGCCAAAGCATAGAGGGGTGACCAAGGCGGTGGTGCCAGAGGAGAGTCTCGTGAGACAGGAGACGACACGAACAGGGGGCAGACGCCGCACCTACCGACTCAATACCAAGGAGGCCGGCCGCAGCAGCAGAGGCAACAGAGGGCAGAAGGGGGGAGGGGGAACACCCCTCAAAGATGGGGGTGCGCGGGTCACCACGAGAGGCCCCTACAGCGACTATGCTCTTCTCGGCCGCTAGGAGGGACTTCTCGAGGAGGTCAACAGTGAGAGTGGTGGGACAGACTGAGAGGAAGTGGTCCCTGACAACGCGAAGGGAGTCAGGGAGGTGAGTGACTAAGAAGTTATGAGTGATGTACATGGGGGGGGGGGGGGGGTTCTTGGCGCAGAAGTCAGCAGGAAGCGTAGCGCGGTAGCGAGTGTCACTAGTGCGGAGGTGCGTAATGAGGTCAGCAACTGTGGGAAAGGCAGCAAAGTCAGGGAAGAGGTACGGTAGCATGAGGCGACTCAGTGCAGCAGTGGCAGGGGAAGAGTAGCGCGCAACTACAGCGTCGTACAAGGTCTGAGCCCTCTTGTACTGACTAAAGTGCGCGCGCTCAGTGGTAGGAAGGTGGCGACGCACAGCAAGACGTGCAGCAGCATCGCGAGTGGCCCACTGTGAGCGAACAGTGGCGTCGGCATCGGCAGCAGGGGCAGGGGAAGCACCAGAGGTGAGGTCAAAGAGGGAGAGACCGTCTGCCCTATCGCACTGTAAGAACAGCTGCAGGTCATCTACCCAGACATCAAAGTCAATGGCCCGACCCTCAGCGTCAAAAGTGAGAACACTGGGGGTAGCCATGACAGCAGTAGACTAGCAGCGCTAACTGTAGAGCAGGGGCACTGCGGTGACAGAGGCGTTGCGCTCACCAGACAGGGCGGTTCGGGCAGCTCAGGCGGCTTCGCAATAACCGCAGCTCGGCGGCACCCGCGGCTCGGCTCCTCAGCTGCTCGGGCGGATCGGGCGGCTCGGGCGGCTCGGCTGCGTAGGCGTTCGGGCAGGCCGTAGGTAGGACGGCGGGGCCGGGTCGAAGGTAGGGCGACGGGGCCGGTGCGAAGATATGGCGACGGGCCCGGGGTCGGGCCGTAGGTAGGGCGACGAGGCCGGGGCCGGGTCGTAGGTAGGGCGACGGGGCCAGGGCCGGGCCGTAGATAGGGCGACGGGGCCGGGTCGAAGGTAGGGCGACGGGGCCATGTCGAAGGTAGGGCGACGGGGCCGGGTCGAAGGTAGGGCGACGGGGCCGGTGCGCAGGTAGGGCGACGGGGCCGGGGCCGGGCCACAAGTAGGGCGACGGAGCCAGGTCGACGGTAGGGCGACGAGGCCGGGGCCGGGCCGTAGGTAGGGCGACGGGGTCGGGGTCGCAAGGGGGGGGCGACGGGGCCGGGGTCGCAGGTAGGGCGACGGGGCCGGGGCGCAGGTAGGGCGACGGGGCCGGGGCCATAGGTAGGGCGACGGGGTCGCTAGAGTGATGAATCAGGGGCCGCTAAAGCGGCTTGACGAAGTCAGAGAGGGGAGCGCGACTCGGGCTGAGCGCGCTCCGGGCAGGAAAAAAAAAAAATCGACTTGGTGGGCCCTAGGCACAGTTCCCACGAGGGAACCTGCTCGATACCATGAGAAGATTGAAACGAGAATGAATGAACTATGAATGAACTGAGTACAAGTACTAACCCTAATTGGGTTGTACCCCTTGTGGGCTACCCCACTATAGCCTACACAATAAGCACAAGCTATATGTTTTGACATGATGCGCCGCGTACTGAACCGCGAACGGCCACAGAAAATGGGGAGCAGCCGCATGAATCATGGACGTACGAGCGACGTCCATGACCATGCCAATGTGGCGCTCAGCAATCCCATTTTGCTGTGGAGAGGCCGGAAGCGTGAACGTCTGGCGGATGCCCTGTGCACGATAGAAGGCTCCCAGAAGGCCAGAGGAAAACTCTTCGCCTCTGTCAGAGTGCAGACGCAGAACAGGAAAGTCTGAGCCGAAACTCTCTCTGAGCTGGAGACGAGCTGCGCGGATCCAGTTGATCACCACCTCAGTGACGTCACCCTTGCTGCGCAAGGGGAACACCGTGGTGTAACGCGAGTAGTCGTCAACCACCAACAGGAAGTAACGCTCGTGACCTTGGCCACGGACGCGGGCGGGGTCCCACACGTCCATGTGAAGAGTGTGCAGCGGAGCCTCAGAGACAAGGTAACAGGAGGCCATGCCTCAGAGACGAGGCAGGGAGGGGTGACCAAGGCGGTGGTGCCAGAGGAGAGTTCGGTGGGACAGGAGACGACACGAGCAGGGAGCAGACTCAGGACCAGACCTGGACGCTGCAGCAAACACCTGACCCGACGCAGCTACCTAACCAGACTTAGCAACCGGAGGAGACTCAGTAGTCAGTGTGTACAGGCTCGACCCCGGCTGACGGGTAAACGTGGCCAAGTGTCGGCCCGTCCGAGCACACGTATAGTGGGTCACCCGCTGACTCGCAGGAGTGAACTGGTCAACCCCCCCATCCTGTAGATCAGCACCACTCACCAAGTTCGTGGAGAACGAGGGGAGGTAGAGACCTGACAGGGTGCCACAGGGGGCCGCCGGACACGGTAAGACAGTGGAGAAGTGGGCAAGGACAGGACCCCCAGAGGGGTCCGCCAGGGAGACCGCAACTGGCCGACTAAGCGGCGTAAGCGTGGTGCGGTCTCGAAAGAAGGAGCGGGAAGCACCTGAGTCAAGGGTGACGGTGTGTAAGGCCTGAGCCGACGTGGTACCTGAGATAGGAGACTCACCAGCACCTGGGGCAGCAGCCTCACCAGCACCTAGAGCAGCAGCCTCAATGCCCGGCTCAGGCGGAACACACAGGTAACAGTCACCCTCATCACTAGTAGACACAACATACATGGTAGCAAGAATAGCATCATAATCCAGATCAAAGATAGCAACCCCCGACCTAAGCAGCTCGCCCCAGCGGGGGATCTCAGTGGCGTCAGGGAACTGGAGACGCCAAGCGTTCGTCAGGCGGCCGAAGCAGCGCTGGGTGGTGTGCGGGCCGCCGCACGGCTCACCAGTGCGGTCGCCGGTACGCAGGACGTAGGCACAGGGACCAGCACCCCCACCCCGCTAAGGCGCAGCATACCACTCACGAAGCTGCTGGGGGGGCGGGGTCTCACGAGTGCGCTGCTGCTGCTGGCGCTGACCACCACCGTAGCCGCCCCGCTGCGCAGAGCCACCCTGACCAGCTCCACCTCCGCCGCCGCCACCTCCGCCACCGCCGCCACCGCCTCCTTCTCCGCTCCCACCGCCACCGCCGCCGCCGCCTCCGCCTCCACCGCCGCCACCGAAGCCCCCACCCCCGCCACCACTCCCACCGCCACCCCCACTCCCTCCGCCGCCTCCACCGCCACCTCCACCGCCCCCGCCAGCCCCTCCAGCGCCCTTGCCCCCCTTGCCCTTGCCGATGCAGCGTCTCCCGCTAGGGGCAGACGCAACGCCGACCGACTTGGTGCCAACGAAGTCGACGGCAGCAGCAGAGGCAACATAGGGCAAAAGTGGGGAGGGGGAGCACCCCTCAAAGAAGGGGGTACGAGGGTCACCACGAGAGGCTCCTACAGCGACTATACTCTTCTCAGCTGCCAGGAGGCGCTCCTCGAGGAGGTCAACGGTGAGTGTGGTGGGGCAAACAGAGAGGAAGTGGTCCTTGACCGAGCGTAGGGAATCAGGGAGCCGGGTGACTATGTAGTAGAGGGTGATGTACATGGGGGGGGTTTCTTGGCGCAGAACTCAGCAGGAAGCGCAGCGCCGTAGCGGGTGTCACTAGTGCAAAGGTGCGTAATGAGGTCAGCGACAGTAGGAAAGGCGGCGAGGTCAGTGAACAGGTACGGCAGCATGAGGCGGCTAAGGGCAGCAGAGGCAGGGGAAGATTAGCGTGCAACTACAGCGTCGTACAAGGTCTTAGCACTCTTGTACTGACTAAAGTGCGCGCGCTCAGTGGACGGCAAGTGACTACGCACAGCAAGAGGGGCAGCAGCATTGCGTGTGGCCCACTGGGAGCGAACAGTGCTGTCAGCATCGGCAGTAGGGGCTGGGAAGGCGCCAGACGTCAGATCGAACAGTGAGAGACCGTCTTTCCTATCGCACTGCAGGAAAAGCTGCAGATCATCGACCCAGACATCAAAGTCGACAGCCCGACCCTCAGCATCAAAGGTGAGAACGCTAGGGGTGGCCATGACAGCAGCAGCAGCAGCATCAGGCTAGTAGCAGTAGCGGCAGGTGCGGCTCGGCGGTGCTCTTACCAGGGCGGGTGGGTAGGGGCCCACAAGTGGTGGGGCAGGGCCGAGGCGCGTCGGGAGGGACAGGGCCGCGACGGCGGCAGCGCCTCCTGCTGTCGGCGGCGGCGGCTGTTGCGGCCCCGACAGCGGCGGTGGCGGCGGTCACGGCAGCAGCGGCTGCGGCGGCCGCGGCCCCGGCAGTGGCGGCGTCGGCTGTCACGGCAGCGGCGGCGGCGGCGGCTGCTGCTGTCGGCGGCGGCGGCTGCTGCTGTCGGCGGCGGCGGCTGCTGCTGTCGGCGGCGGCTGCTGCTGTCGGCTGCTGCTGTTCGTGGAGGAGCTGAGAAGGGGCCGGTAAGGGCGGCGAAGGGGCCACGAAGGATCGTGAAGGAGCCGCGAAGGGCGGCGACGGGGCCGAGGAGGGCGGCGACGGGGCCGCGAAGGGCGGCGACGGGGCCGCGAAGGGGCCGCGAGGGGCCACGAAGGGGCCGCGAGGGGCCTGAAGGTGCCGCGAAGGGCCGTGAGAGGGGCCATGAGGGGCCGTGAGAGGGACCGCTACGGGGCCGTAAGAGAGCGCGACGGGCCGCTAAGGGTAGGGGATGGAACGGGAGGGCAGGCACACGGGGCGCGACTCGAGCAGGGGCGAAGCGCGCTCCTTGCGGGAAAACAAAGTTTCGATTTTCGGTGGGCCCTAGGAAACGTTCCCACTAGGGAACGTGCTCTATACCATGTGAAAGAATGAGGAATGATTGACTAAGGAATGAGTGTGATACAAATATGAAACCCTAGAATTGTGTACCTCTTAGTATCTAACCCGCTATAGCCTACACAGGCTAGATCATATAAGTCTGACAGTGGCTTCCAATATGGCATGTCTATGAGACACTTTCTGAAATGTAATCTGTTCTGCTTGTTACTGATGACAGAACTCAAAGGACGCGTCCCCTCGATGGCGATCCTGCGAGCGATCAGACACAGGATCGTTTTTTATCGTGGTTAATAAAACCCGCCAGATGGTTTAAACTCAATACGCGGGAGTTGGTTGCGATCGAAGATCGGCCAGAGGGGACGCGTCCTAATTATTTTATCGGTTCCCACCCAGTGTGTTTTCGACCGTCTTATGGGAGCATGATGAGTGGTTGCACCAAATCACATGGCAACGTGTGGTGGGTGTAACCATTATCGAATTCTGCCACGCTGGACCAATGGTGCTGCACTTTTCTGAAGGTTACACTTGGCAGCTGTCGCGGCAAATATATTTGCAGCCAATCCTTGCTCAGGCCTTTGACACCGCAGTTGATGCACATCCTTCCCTGGCGATATGAGAGGTAGCGGCGGGTGATCCTTCGAGGCGACAAATCACAATCGTTGCTACGTTGCGAAGTGAAGTGCTCTGGTTGGTGCTTTGCTGGTGCACGAATCACAATCTTCGCAGTTGGTGCTTCGCTGTGCACCAGCAGGGAAGTGCTCTGCTCACCGCCTCGCTGGAGCACAACCGCCCAGTTTCTCGCTCCCTTGACTTCGAAAGAGCTTCAGCTCTCCCTTCAGAGAACTCACCATTTTTGCCATCTCTTCGTTTCTGATGTCAGCTCCAGGGCCAGCGCCAGCGCCAGCACCAATCGCAGCAGCAGCCATAGAGACTGATGCATATTTATTTTTTCGCGCTCGCCTTCTGCATACCTTCGACCCTTTTTCTTTTGCGTCTCTCTAATGTACTCGCTAATACCTTCGTTGCAGGGAATCATCCGTCTTTTGGAAGTCGTCATTCGTAGGTAGGGCTTGGCATGACCGTGATGTTTACTGAATTGTCGCGCAACGCTGCACGGTATGATCCTGCTTTTCCTTTTACTTCATGCGCCTTCCCGTCACGATGTCTCTTCTTTTTACTTGCGTTGTCTGTCTCCCTCTACTATACAGGAATTATCGTTGTCGGTCTTCGTGGGCGTCTCGTCCCGTGGTGTGCCTGAAATTTTGATATTTGTTTGTTCTTTTGCAGGTTTCGTAATTATGAGCACTTTCGCACTATTGGTTGCTACTCACAACGTTATGACTGGTCACTTTGACCCAGATGCTTCATATCGACGCTAAGGTTTGGTAACTGGTTTAACTTTTGCTGTGGTGTTTCTTTTTTCTTATCGTTTGTTCTTTTTGCATGTCGTGTAATCATGTACGCTGATATCATGTGCAGGATTGTGCACGTATCTTGTGCTGGTATTCCGGAATGCAGGATTTATGCTGGGTCCTGTAATTATTCATGAGTTCTATAATGTATTTAACCCTTTTTTATTTAACATCACTATTTCCATGTCATGTAATGCCGTGTATATGACAGAAAGACCAATAAGCGTTTTCTATCATGTGAAGGTTAATTTCAAAGCAAACACGGAATGCCAAAATCAAACCTGATGCCACCACAAAAAAATTGCCCATTCAATAGTGATGTAATCGAGTGCATATATCAAAATTAATTGTACAATTACGATTACCGATGTAACGTAACAAAATCATACTAATTAGCAACAATCGGTAACCACTCAGTTATTGTAGCGCAACCGCGCTCGTGATTCGTTGTAAGCAAACCTTATTTTGCGTACGAAAACATTTGCTTCAACAATTACATTTCACAATCTATTCAGTAGGCTTATGTGGGAAAATGTCGAGTCACTCTATGGCGAACAGTCACGCTTCGATTCATTCACAAATGTTTTGCTGCAATCCGAAACTCAGGACCCGGAAAATAAAAAGTACAGGTTGTTTTCCGCAATTGGGTATGTACAGTGACTGCACGCTTTGGAAAATATCGAGTTCGATTGTGGAGGGAAAAGCAGGGGTTAGGAATGATGCCGCGTGGGATGACGAATTCAAGTTGCAGGTGACACGCTGTAAGTGTGTATTGCAATACGCCAATCCCAGGCATCGCAAAAATTGCCCCAGCGATGTCATTCAAACCTCAAGGGAATGGATGGCATCTGGATTGACACACAGGTATAGGTTCCGATGAAACTGCTGCTTACCATGCGAAGCACAAGAACGTTCATTAGACAGCGAGAGAGAGCTGGAGGAAAGTCAGTCAGCGGCTCGGACCCAGCAGGTCTGTTAGTAGAGCTACACTGTGAGATCCTCGATCGATCCTAGGGGGGGTTACAGGCGCGTTTGCCTGGGGGGTTATGGGCGCACTGACCCGCTACTGAAACAAGCCCTTTTATCCCAATGGTCTAGTGGTTGGGATTCTGACATGGCATCAGAGCGGTCTCGGGTTCGAATCCCGGTGTATGCATATGTTGGCCGTTGCCACTGTGCTCAGTCCTGGGCCTCCCAGTGTGGGGGGGTGTCAGTAGAGCTACAGTGTGAGATCCCGGATCGATCCTAGGGGGGGTTACACGCGCGTTTGCCTGGGGGGTTATGGGCGCACTGACCCGCTACTGAAACAAGCCCTTTTATCCCAATGGTCTAGTGGTTGGGATTCTGACAAGGTCCATTTCATGGTTCTTGGCCAGGTTGTTTACCTCTCGCCTGATTCGACCGTAGAACAAGCGAAGCTCAATTCGACTTCAATTATCAAGGTGCTTCCCGTGAAAGCTGTGCATATAGACGGACTGGATAAGGTCAAGGCTAAAGCTAAACAGGATGTGATTGGACCTGCAGCTGCTCCTAGTGTTGTTACCACCGTTTCGCCTGCTGCTGTTGTGGTTCCTGCAGCTGCTCCTGCTGTTCCTCCTCCCACATTTCCTACTCCAGTTGCAGCACCTGCAGCTCCTGCGCTTCGTGATGCGGCTGCTCCTCTTGCTGCTGCTATCACCAAGCTCTATTGACTGCAGCAAACGGAATCACAACGTTTCTAGAATCGGGGAAGAGGATGAGAACGGGCAGATGGAAAGAGAAGAAGGCGGTAGGGGGTTAGGAAAGGCTCAGGCGTCAGTGCCTACTGTCGCTTCGATCAACTCTGTGGATTCTGAACCTTCTCTCGCTTCATTGGCATCTTTGATCCATGTGGATTGTATGACTGACACGACCAGGGTTGATGACGAGCGAGTGGCTCTGAAGACAGCACCTAGGGAGGAGTCTCGTTTGATGGAGAGACTAGAGAAGCTCCAATTTCCAACCGATTGCGAAGGACTGGTTCAGGAAGAGGAGCAAACATTAGTGGATGGAGCAGAGGGAATGGAGGATTATGGAGCACGAGAGACGCTTCGACTTCTGTCTCGAGCGGACATGGTTCATTACTTGGACGTGAGAGGTGGCTGGGATCTGAAGGCATGCGAGTGCTGCTTCGACCGGGCAGTGAGCAGCCGCGCACAGTGCGCTCTCGACATGGCCGACCTTAGCAGCTTTCGCCGTGAAATGAAGAACTCGCTTTCTGATTACGTCCCTACTCATCCACATCCCCGTGCATCCTGGTCCGAGCTCGAGTGGGAGATGAGGTATCCAGTGCGGGAGTCTGAACGCTTGCAGGGGATGGCAGCGGTGGAGGAGCTGAAGAGGAAGGCAGCATTCGCGCCTTTACAATGTGCAGAAGCAATGATTCTCGAGTGGATGGCTGAGCCTCGTGTGGGCGTGCTCATGGACCTGGGGAGGTTGAGATCCTACCTCCCTGCCATTCTTCTGACTCGCGATTGTGATGCACCTGCCCCTGCTCCTGCTGCTTCCAGTCCTCCTTCTCTTTCTCTAGCTGAACCTGCAGATGCTTCTGCAATGTGGTCCTGCTGCTGGCGCTGCAGCAGATGTTGGGCCAGATACCGCCGTGCCGTCAGCTTTGCTGCCTTCCTCGTGCTTGTAGCAAGCTCCCTATGCATTGTGACTCTATGGAAGGCTCAGAAGGAGCTCTCTGGTACAAACTATCCGCGCATGGCAATCGTACTGGGTGTCACTCGTCAAGAACAGCTGGACTGCTTGGCTTCCATGCTGGTGCAGGTGCTGGGGGTGAAGGAGAGTGCTGAACTGAAGGAAGGGTTTGGGTTCTTTGTGTAGCATGTGCTGTCAGGCGGGCTGGAGAAGGCGCATGCGAAGAGGAAGGAGGGAGCTGAAGGAAATACTTTTCAGAAGACGCAAAATAGGGAAATTGAGAAGAGGGGAGCAGGTGATGGCGGAAAGGGTACTGCAGGGGAGAAGAAAGGTGGCAGGGATGGGAAGGATGGGGATTGGAAGAAGCATTTGAAGGGGCGTGTGTGGGACAGGTATGTGGATGGCATGGCTTGGATTTTGGAGCGTGGAGGAGCGGAATGGAGGCAGTTTGGGTGCATCCACTGCCAGATGGGCGGCGGCAGCGGTGGTGGCAGTGGTGGTGGCAGCGGCAGTATTGATGGGCTTGGCTGCCGGGGCAACAAGGAAGGCAGGAATATTCCCAAGGGCATGTATGTGAGTGGCGTGGGTGCCACTGACTTCGCCTTTACAGTCGCGACGCTGTTATCTAAGGCCGAGAGTTGCCCAGAGGCGCAAGTCTTCATCCTAGATGGAAACAACGTGAGCAAGACACGCGTGGAGGATGCAGCTATTGAAGAGGCGAGAGTGAGGCTGGAAAGAGAGAGGCAGAGGAGGGATAGGCAGAGAAGGGATAGGCAGAGAAGGGAGACGAGTGAGACTGGAAGGGGATGTGGAGCCACAGGAGCAGGCGGAGGGGTGGCAGCAGGACATGCACCTACAGATGCAGCTGCAGCTGCAGAAGCACCACCACTGCTAGCTGCCTCTTCTCCTGGCGCTGCTCCCTCAGCCGGAGCCCCAACTTCTGCTGCCTCCAGTGCAGTTTCCACTGCTGTGCGTGTGCCTGTCAATTCCAACCCTTTTCTTGCAGCCTTCACGTATCGGGTCCGTTGCATCTTGCAGTGGGTGCGCATCTACGGCTCGGATTCCATGTCAGCAAAGCAATGCTTCAAGAACACGCCACAAGAGCACAACCTGCCAATTCGCCACCCCTTTCACGACCTTCTGAGCCTGCTGGTCAGGTTCGGTGCCATCCCCAAGCCTCTGGTTGGAGCCGAACATTTCTGTGAGTGGGACGAATGGCCCCAGGGTAGTGAAGATGCCATGAAGTTTCCTGATGACCCGAATGCAAGATTCTTTGGACTGAGAATCATGGAGGAGAGTGAGGAGAGAGAGGAGAGTGAAGCGAGTGCCGAGAGTGAGGCAAGAGAGGATGGAGAGGAGCAAGGTGAGGGCAGAGAGCAGACATCTGTAAAGGCACCAAGACGAGGAGAAGGCAGCAAGTGCAAGGGTGGGAGGGGACGAAGTGGCGGATGAAGGGGGGCAACCAGCCATAAGGGAGGTGGAAGGGGCGGAAGGAGCAACTGGGGTGGTCGCTCCCAAAGAAGCCACATCAATGCTCCAACACCTGTAGGCGGGATGCTGACTTCTAGGAAAGAGCTTCCCATTGCTCGCTACAGGGCGGATATAGACTTCATTGTAGACGTCGCCAGCAGGTTGTTTCCTCTGCCAGCGTGTGCCGAATGCGCATCGTGCTTTTCCCGGTACAAATCCGTCATTCCCTTTGCTGCTGTCCTTGCCAACTTCGCGTACCTCCCCGCCTCTGTTCTCTTCAACCGCTTCGTCTATGTCTTTCCACCGCCCTCCTTGGAGATCACTCAGCTAGCAGACGCGCTGTGCTTGTGCGACCGCGCCTGCTCATACCTGCCTATCCGTTTACACCTGCGTGAGGTTCGTGATCTTGCGGAAAAGCTGCCCATGCTCCTGCTGCTCGTGATCGCTCTGAAATGGGCCAGGGAGATTGCCATGGTGCACGGGCGACTGGAAGCTGAGGGGAGGGTGGGTGAGCAGAAAAGTTCAAAAGGACGCAGGGCAGGGAGTGGAAGAAACGGAGTGGGGAAAGAGGAAGAGGGAGAGGAGGAGAATGAGGAGGATGTTTGGAAGGCATGGGAGGAGGTGCGGTCGTGGTGCGCCACAGCGGTGATGGCGTGGCCTGCGAGTGTGAGGGACGGACGCAAGTGGTACGACCCTGCGTCAATCTCTGCAGGGCTCAGCTTGGACTGCAAGGGCAGCACGGAACCGCAGAGGGAGGAGGTCACCGGTCAGATGATGATTGACATGTTCCGGGCGGCAACACAGACAAGGTTATGTGCTGACCTGGATGGCCAGGATGGGTCGGGTACAAGTAGTGTTGGTGGCAGTGGCAGCAGCGGCGGCGGCGGCGACGGTGGCAGCAGCAGCAGCAACAACAGGGGTAGCTGTGCCAGCAGTAGTGGCAGCAGAGGCACTAATGACAACAACAGAGAGGGGAAGGGCAAGAAGGAGGTGCCGGCATATCTGAAGCCATGGCCAGGGGGAACCAACCTGCTTGCATGTCTGCGAGAGATGCTGCTGGGGGAGCCGTGCTACCGCCCTGCCTCCCCTGCTGCTTCTTCCACCCATCCTACTGTGAAGGCCATTGCTGCAGTACCAAACCATGCAAGTGCACAAGCTTCGGTTTCAAAAGCTTCTGGTCATGCTGCTTACGAGGGGTATCCGTGTGGTGCTGAGGGATGTGACAGGGTAGGGGGCGGTGGTGTAAAGCTGAGGAATTGCGGTGGTTGTGGCAAGGTGACGTATTGCAGCAGAGAGTGCCAAAAGACGCACTGGCCCTCCCACAAGCTCACATGCCCATGCAAGACCAGCGGAAAGAAGAGTGGGACCAACAGTGGCAAGGTGAGAGAGCAAGGACAGCAGCGGGCATAGAGGAATAGAGGTACAGTAGAAGCTAATAGCTGGTGTAGGTCTCAATAGTTGCTGTGTGGTGGAGAGGAGTGGTGTAGGTCTCAAGAGTGATGACTAGGTTTACCACAGAGTAACAGGGTAGGTGCAAGCAGGGCTGATTTTATTAGGGTAATTACCCTGATTTCAGGATGATTACAGGCTTCTCACATGGTGGTCCCTGAAATTTCAGAATTTATGACTTGTGAACACTGATCCATTCAGAATAGTGCTTTAGCGAACCCTGAAATATTGTATCTAGGCTCAGAGTAGTGTTCTTACTGACTCTGTCAATGTAGAGTACGCGCTCTGTGGACTCTGAAATTTCCTTCCGATAACCCCGCCTTCGGATTGGTCGTAGTACTGCAACAGCGTGAGCACCGCGCGGCAACATGTCTGACAGGTGAATACAGTCTACGTATGTTAGTGTTACAGAAGTCGAAGATGTCGGTCGTATTGTCGCAATTACGTGTGCGTGAAGTTATCAACAAATTTTTTGCGTTTCGCACAATGAAGTTGGCGAATTGCGAGTAATCAGCGAATAGGAAATCTTGGCACATCTTTGATACCGAACTGTTTGGTGGACCGAAACTGCTCGTTTCTTCCCCGCGCTAAAACGTATGGAGAAATACAAATTTTGTCGAAGTAACGGGTAAGAAAGTAAAGCGCACGAGGTGTGCACGAAATGATGTCGCGTTGTGATGGAATCCTGCGGGGTGAAACTTTTGTCCCTGTTAAATACAGCGCGCGTTACTACATTGATGTTCAGTTCTCGACCCTGAGCAATCAGAGTTAACTACTTTTCAACACTGAGCAATCAGAGTAGCCTACCTGTGGAAAATATACACCCATAATACAGGGGGGGGATTTTCCCGGGAATCAGGGAGGCTTAAAATGAAACGTCAGCCCTGGGTGCAAGGCTTGTGTTTCTGGTGTCAGTGTGAAACAATCGCTTCCCGCCAGTGAACAATGACCATACATGTGTTTTGGCTTCATCTGCTCGATTGAAGTCAAGATGTGGTTGCTTTCTCTGCTCCTCTTTCCTACTGTCGTTCTCTGTTCAGGATCTCCACATTTTATGACAACAAGTGGCTGCCAAATATCCCTCAGTCACGACACAAGACTAAGAATAGCACCTGTGCCTTCAACAAATCTTACTTTATATATATTCAAGTCAGAATTCAATGCTGGCGGAAATTGGCATCTGCAAACATCTAAAGCATCGGGTTTCTGGTTGCGTACAATCTGTGTACCCCTACAATTATCTTGCCCCAAGGACCTCCGGTGCTCAGTAGAGAAGCTCGCATGTACCCGAATGGCCCCGGATATAGGCGCCGTCCTATTAAAGGTGCCGGCGCTTATATCTGAAGCATGGCGCTTATGGCCGATCCTCAATTATAAGCGCCCCCCCTAGAAAACCTTTACTTATTATAAGCGCACGTGCAATTTTAATATAAATTCTTGCTTAAAATGGTAAAAAAAATACATTTTTGCAGCGAGTCGGATCTCAATTTCGCTTCGTTTGACTCGCGAAGACCTGACTGGCTGCGCGTCCGGTCAGGATGTGCTGGCATGACGTGTCTTTGCCTGTGTGTGAACCCAAAATATCGCTTGCGCGAGATTCTGCTTAGTGACGCTAAAACAATTCGACTCGGTTGAAATGGCAAGGAAATGGACAATTTGGTGCCCTAAATATATAAATTCTTATTTGTCATCATATAAGCGCCGGCGCCTATGGCTGTTATTCAATTACAAGCGCCCCCCTTAAAACAAATGAATCTATTGTAAGCGCATATGCGCTACTATCCGGGGCCATATGGTAGCACAATAAGATTTGCCATTGCGCAACAAGATGAGACTGGAAACCCTGCTCGAACATTGCCTTCTGCCATGCCAGTGATCGCGCCATAACGAACTTCCAATCCTATTGCCCCGGCGAACAAGTTCGTTGGGGCAAAGCTCATAAGTTCCGCCGGTAGCGAGATTAGTCAAAGCTCTCACTGAAAGCCGCCACATGCTAGGAATAGTGATTGGTGAGCGCAAAGGAAAAGATCAATGAGGTGGGGGGCGGAGGGGGGGAGGGGGGGGGGGGGGGGGGGGGGGGGGGGGGGGGGAGGGGGGAGGACTGCTGGGTGCGTGTTGAAAGAATAACGCGCGTCTCAAACTAATGATGAGGGATGAGTGTAGGTGGACAATCATGGGTGAGCCAAGATGGGTGAGCGGGGGGGGGATGGCTGGGTGAGCGCTGGGAGACCACGTTCGTCCATCATCGTGCGAAAGAAACGATGATGGATGAGTGCAGGGGGGAATCATGGGTGGGCCTTTGGGGAAAGATGAGTGTGGAGTAGGGAGAATGCTGGGTGATGGCTGAAGATTTATTGGGGGTTAGTGTAGGAATGGTGAGGGATGAGGGCAAGGGGGAGTCATGAGTGGGCTTCTCGGGGAAAGAAAGGTGAAGGGGGGGGCGAATGGTGGATCTACTAGGGAAAGGCAGAATGGTGGGTGAGGGTACTGGGAGAGAGGGGTGAGCATAGAAGGGAAAAAGGTAATTGCGAGGACGGCATGAGGGGTGAGCGCAGGGGTAATCAAGTGTTTTTTGAGAATTCTCAAAAAACACTCGTTGAGAATTCTCAAATCATAGCGCGGACGGCATGAGGGGTGAGCGCAAGGGTAATCAGGAGCGTACGTGCCAGGGCAGGCGAGTGGAGGGGTTAGCGGCGGGGAAATGTGGGGTGGGTGCAGGGGAGAAAGGGGTCAGCGTAGGGGGAATGAGGTGAGAGCATGGAGGGGCATGAGGGGTAAGTGTATGGGGAATGACGGGCTTAGGGAAAGGGGGAATGGTTCGTGAGGGCACAGGGAGAGAGGGTCCTGCATAGGGGGGTTCGAGGAATGAGTGCGGGTGCTGTGAGGTGTGAATGCAAGGGCATTCAGGAATGAACGTGCAAGGGCAGGTGGAATGAGGGGTGAGTGGGGGGAAGGGGAATGAGTGGAAAGGGCCGGGAGAGGGGTGAATGTCAGGTGGGCGATGTCAATCGTCCTGGTTTCAGTTTCCACGTTTTTTCATGTCCCTAGGTCCCTTTGTGTGAGTATCCGAAGTTTTTCTACTGTATCGGATTGGTGTGTACGCACTCCATTTTTTAGGCGCCTAAAAAATAGACTCCCTTTGTGTGAGTATCCGAAGTTCCTCTACTGTATCAGATTGGTGTGTGCGCACTCCAGAAATGTGCCTTCCTCTAGAAGTGGCAGCAAGTGGATTCCCTCATCCATCTTTGTTGGGGATACTGTGGGTACCACCATGCAAACTCCAGCAAAATAGTTAACATGCCTTCAATCTCACAGTGAAAATCCATAGAATTCCTGCTTTTCAGAGTGCAGTTCGGATCTTCTTTGCCCTGGCATGGAGGTTCCTGATACAGAGACATCAAGTACGATGCCCAATATCCAACCAGAGCATTTGCACGCAAGAAACAGGGGGGTGAATAAGGGAAGGGTTGGTGGTGGCACCTCAAGAGCGAGGGAAGAGAGTAAGCTGAGGACTTTGGGTGGCCCCACATTGCCCCCAGCAACGAAAAGGAGTGAGACTACATGGATAGGCAAAAGGGTTGCACAGCACATGGGGAGGCTTGGAGGCACCTCAAGAGCAGGGAGATGGAAGAAGCTGAGAAGGTTGGGTGGCGCCACATTGCTCCCAGCAATGCACTCCGAAATGCATTTAGCAGGATGTGAGGAGGTGCTGCTGCTGCTGCTGCTTAGGGCGTGTGGGAGGAGGTGAGGGGAGCATAAGATGCAGGGGGAGTGGAAGAAGCTGAGAAGGTTGGGTGGCAGCACATTGCCCCCAGCAATTCGGAGTTACGGTATCCCTGAACCTTGCTCAGGGAAGGGAGCGAGACTGCAAGGGCGACTTTTGAGGCGCCTCAAAGGATGGGGACACCTCAAGAGCAGGGGGAAAGACGAAGCTGAAAAGGTTGGGTGGCGCCACAATGCTCCCAGCAATGCGAAGTTACGGTATCCGTGAACCATTCACAAGGAAGGGAGCGATACTGGTACTATTTTTGAGTCGACTCAAAAGTAGACGAAGCTGAAATGGTTGTTTGGCGCCACATTGCTCCCAGCAATGCGAATTTACGGTATCCCTGAACCTTTCCCAGGGAAGGAAGTGAGACTGCAAGTTGAGGCATGTTGACTTGCAGTTGCTGCTTTAGTGCACGTGGGAGGAGAAGGTGAGGGAAGCATAGAATAAGCAGAGGAGATGTGGAGCAAAAATTAACAGTACAGCTGCCCTGGGCAGCAATGCACTTAGTAGGGCTACTTTAGCAGTTGCTGCTTAGTGCATATGAGAGATCAAGGTGAGGGTAGCATAAAACAAGGGGAGAGGAACAGCAAAAACACATGAAAACACATGTCACAACATGTATAGAGTTTTACATGCGCATCCGGGGAATCGAACCCCGGTCAGTACCGTGGGAGGGTACTATGATACCACTACACCAGATGCGCATATCATATATGCGCATACCATGCACTCTAGCGTTTCTCACCAACCCTGAACTGAACCATGTCCTCTCCTAATTTCCTCTCCAACCCTCTTTTCCTCATAGCAGAGGTGGGGTTAGAGAGGAAATTTTGTTGAATCAAGAATTGAAGTGGTTGCGTTAGGAAGCACCACGCCCTGAAGAGTGGGGGGCGGGGGAAGCAGGAGAGGGGGGGGTTGTTGGAGAGGAGGGGGAGAAGGCGAGCGGAGGAGGGATTGGGAAGAAAGGATAGGAAGCAAGCAGAAGAAGGGTTGGGGAGTAGAGATTCGAGGGAGAGGGGATCAGGCAGGAGGAGCAAATGGACGGAGATTGACAACTGTAGGAAAGAAGCTTCACTGGATAGCAGGTGGCAGGAGGAAGAGAAAAGATATAGTGGGGAGTGGTTGAGAGTAGGGAAGGAGGGGAAGAGCAAAAGGATGCACCTGATTGTTTGACTGTGTGTGGTTGGAACATGCATGGTGGCCTCGTGCCAGTAGGTTTGGGTGATGGGGCGGATTGGGTGACTTTTGCGTCGACTCAGAAGTCACCTCTTTTGGGTCGACTCAAAGGAACCTGCATGGTCGCCTGGTGCCACGAGGTTAGGGTGATGGGGCCGACTGAGTGACGTGGCTCAGAGTGCCTTCTTTGAGACTTGTCAAAAATAGCTCAGATTGGCGTTGACTGGAATCATATCAGCACACTCACATGGTGCGGTGCCATGCTAGCAACACCTGCTTCTACTGCCCCTAAGTATTTGCTGCCATGCATTGACCCATGGCCTCTAAGTGGGGCTCAATTGCAGCCATGCTAGCAACACCTACTTCTACCGCCCCTGCAGCCCTCATGCCATGTGAACAGGTGAGCATGTGAGCATGTGAGCACGTGAGTATGTGAGTATGTGAGTATGAGAGCATGTGAGCATGTGAGAATGTGAGTATGTGAGCATGTGAGTAAGTGAGCATGTGAGCATCTGTCTGTGCCATCACAATGCCATACATACATGGTGCAGTGCCATGACTGCAACAACTGCTTCTACCTACCGCCCCGGCAGTGCCATGGGAACAGGGTGTACGCTATGAACCGCTTGTGATCTACTGATTAAATGTGCTAGGCTTACCTACACATGTTCTCGCCTTGTACTCAGTGAGTTTAGTACTTAGATTGGTCATCACTGGTCGGTCAAACCGAACTTGGTGCTTTCTATCCGTTTTTCTTTTTGAAGTGCCATGCCATGACCGTAACAGCCGCTTATACCTACCACCCCTGCAGTGCCATGTGAGCATGCGGGCATCGCGTGCAATACAATGCAGTGCAATACTCACATGACAGCAGCATGTGACGTGTTTGGAGTCGACTCAAAACACCACACTCACATGACAGCAGTATGTGAGGGAGGGACATGCAGGAGATACTGCGCATGTGAGCACACACAGTGCTATACTCACATCATGTCAAGCAACAGTGCCATGGCAGCACACTCACATGGTGTAGAGCCATGGCAGCAACGGCTACTTCCACTCCACGGCCCCTGCAGCCCTGGTGTCATGGCATTCTATCCAGCTTTTGTATTGTGCAAGTGAGCATCATGGAAAATACAGTGCCACACTCACATGATGTAAAGCAATGGCAGCAACAGCTGCTTTCACTGCCCCTGCAGCCCTCATGTCATGGCATTCTATCCAGCTCTTGTATTGTGCAAGTAAGCATCATACAAAATACAGTGCAGCTGCTTCCACTGCCCCTGCGGCCCCCCAACAAATGACCCATCGCTCCCTGCCATGCACATGCACATGCACACATGCATATGTACAAGCACATGCAGATGAAGAGAAAGAAATGTCTCCTGAGAGCACGTGCCAGTCGAACAAAAATCAATGCTCAGGGTATGTGGCATATGCTCAAGGTATGTGGCATATGCTCAAGGTATGTGGCATATGCTCAAGGTATGTGGCATATGCTCAAGGTATGTGGCATATGCTCTGGGTATGTGGCATATGCTCAGGGTATGTGGCATATGCTCAGGGTATGTGGCATATGCTCAAGGTATGTGGCATATGCTCAAGGTATGTGGCATATGCTCAAGGTATGTGGCATATGCTCAGGGTATGTGGCATATGGTCAGGGTATGTGGCATATGCTCAGGGTATGTGGCATATGCTCAGGGTATGTGGCATATGCTCAGGGTATGTGGCATATGGTCAGGGTATGTGGCATATGGTCAGGTGGCATATGCTCAGGGTATGTGGCATATGCTCAGGGTATGTGGCATATGCTCAGGGTATGTGGCATATGGTCAGGGTATGTGGCATATGCTCAGGGTATGTGGCATATGGTCAGGGTATGTGGCATATGCTCAGGGTATGTGGCATATGCTCAGGGTATGTGGCATATGCTCAGGGTATGTGGCATATGCTCAGGGTATGTGGCATATGTTCAGGGTATGTGGCATATGGTCAAGGTATGTGGCATATGCTCAGGGTATGTGGCATATGTTCAAGGCATGTAACATATGCTCACGGTCATGGGGTATTTGGGGGGGAGAAACAAACCTCCACACCTTGCTGGAGGAGAAAGCAAGGCCGCCTGAAAGCAAGTGCTGGTCAAAGACAGCCGTGAGCCCCTGCACCAAGAGAAAGAAATGCAGCAGGCATGTCATTGGCTGGAAGGAGGATGGGTTGGAGTGGGCAGAGGTACAAGGGAAATAGAAAGGGTACAAGGTACCCTCACAGAGGGTAGTGGATGTGGTATGGGCGTTGTGTTGAGGTATCGTATCATATATTTTTCAAAGAGAGAAAAACAAGTGGTACCCTTCCATTCGCCAATCTCTTTTGAGACATCTCAGAAAAGGAGGTACTGTCACATGTAAGGGTTTTGCTCACCGGGGGGAGTGGAGGTGGCATGGGCGTTGAGGTATCCGTCACGCATGGTTGGACGGGCAGCAGTGCTGGAGAACCCGCTTGAGCAAGAAAGAACAAGAGTAAATAATACCCTAACTAAGAGACTAATGGAAAGGCCTTCCCCCGCACAGGGCGTACCTGTGAAAACGACCAGCCGTCGCGGCGCGGGAGGGGGAGGTGGCAGCTGGGGGAGGTTCTTGTGCTGCGGTAATAGCTGATGTTGGTGCCGTGTAAACGGGGACCCTGGCAGTGCCGCTGTGCTGGTGACCAGGGGAGGTTCTCGTGCTGCGGTGATGACTGATGTGGGGAATGGGCAAACGGGGACGACGGGGACGATGGCGGTGCTGCAGTGCTGGTAGAGAAAGGCGAGGGGAGTGAGTGAGAGGAGAGGGAGTGAGGGGAGGAGTGAGGGGAGAGGGAGTGAGGGGAGGAGTGAGGGGAGGAACGAGGGGAAGAGTGAGGGGAGGAGTGTGGGGAGGAGTGAGGGGAGGAGTGCGGGGGGAGGGAGTGAGGGGAGGGGTGAGGAGAGTGGGAGTGAGGTGAGAGGGAGTGAGGGGAGTGAGATTGAGGGAGGGGCGAGATCGAATCGGCGGCTGCTATGGAAGGGTTTGACAAAGTTGAAGCTTCGGAAGGGCGTGAAGCAGACGAGAGCGTGCGAGATGACCCCCGTGCCAGCGCAGGTTCAGAAACGGCCGAGATTGCTGCTTCTGCGGAATGGACGGCCGAGATGAGCACTGGCGACGGGATGCAGGGAGCGGGCGAGGGCCTCGAGATCGCTGGTGTGAGTGGCCATGCTGGGAAAGTGCAAAATATATGACTTGGAATGAGATTTGAGAGATGTGGGACGGCAAAGAAAGACCGATAGAAAAGATTTGACTTGATGGGTAGGGTTCTGAAAGCATGTGCAGCTGCCAACGCTGCGAATGCACCAGCTGCTGTCAATCCTGCAAAGGATCCTGCTGCTGCTGTTCTTGAGAACGCGCCTGCTGCTGCACGATGCTTCACGCGCACATGCCGCCGCTGCCGATGCTCTGAACGCGACTGTTTCTGCGATCTGCTAGCTTGCGCGCACATAGATTTCTTGCTGGTGCGACGAATGATGCTCCGCGCACCTGCGCGCTCATAAATTTCTTGCTGCTGCCGCGAATGATGCTGCGCGCACCTGCGCGTTCGTAAGCTTCTGGTGCGGACCTGCTGCTGCCACGGATGCTTCTAGCGCGCACCTGCGTGCTCATAAGCTTCTAGCGCGCACCTGCTGCTGCTGCGTCGTCCTCGTCCCAACAAGGCTTGCCCACATGCACCGGCAGCTCCGCTTAAGCATCTGCCTGTGCGCATGTGCTGCCGTAGGAGTCCTACGTATTAGCGATTTGAGTTTTCAAGACAATGCTCAAAATGCCATCTAGAGCTCTCCTTGTCAACAAATGCCGTGGATTACTTCTCCAGCGACAGCCCTTCACATTGAATCCTCTCCCGTTGTCTCGTTTCGTAACCAGGCTGCTGACAAAGGGAGCAGGCTCAGATATGGTCGTAGGCTTGCACCTCTTGACCTTCTTTCCGAACTTGACAAGGTATAATCAAAAAAGTCGTCGACCCAACAATGAGCGTCATGGTCTTGGAGCGCGTTCCGGAAGAAAGGGAAGAACGATCGCGTATCAGCTAGCTGCTACCTATTGAAGAAGTGTTTTGAGACGTCTCAAAACACTTCTTCAATCTCGAGCGCGTTCCGGAAGAAAGGGAAGAAAGATCGCGTATCGGCTAGCTGCTACCTATTCGGAAGATACGTTGAGAGAATGCTATGCAACAGCAGGAGATAGAATTGTCGCTGGATTCGTCGCTGGTTGTCGGACGTCGCAGCAGGCAGATCCAGTGAGAATCTTCGTGGACGTTCATATTCAATAAAAGTTCACCCGCGTCCGTTGTCAGTTTTAGTGCGGTGATGATCAAGCAGACGGCACTGGTTTGCTGCTCGGGGAAGAGTCAGATTCTCTGTCGACATAAATGGCAGCGCTTCAACGCTCGCGAAAAGCAGAAGATGTGGGAGCTTATGAATCGATGGAAGGTTGAAAAGCCGTCTGATGAGTTTCAAACAGATCTATCATGTCACATTCTCTGTCGACATACACAGCCGCACTCCTACGCTGGGGAAGACCGCACGACGAATCCATGGACGGCAAATCAAGATACTGGAGATTCCAAATCGAGTAGTAAGTATGAAATCGCTTGACAGGGATGAGATAGTCGAGTCAGGTTCTATGCTACTGATCAGGCTGAAATGAAAGCATTCTGTGCTGTGCCACAGAAGCAGGTCCATATTATCGGTCGGACCTAGCAGGCGCAGTCTGGGATGTTTTCGACATTGCGCTAGTGCTGGAAGCCCGTTCCTCACACAGCCACGCCAAGAGCAGAGCAGTGCCCACCAAACCTCGCCCGAGCTTGGTGTTCGTGATTCCCGCACCTCAGCTGCGCCGGGCCTACGCCAGCCAAGCAAGCGAATCAAATTTCAGGGTGATAGGTACCGAAAGCTCCACCCTTGGACCTTGGCAAGCCGAATTTTTCGCGACATAGTGTACATCAGGAATAGCGAGAGTGGTATTTAGGACGCGTCACCTCCCTCGATCGAACCTGCGTAGGATCGATGTTTGGCATGCTACAGTTAATTTGTAGCATCGCAGTCTACATACCCTTTTTCGAGACAGTTAACGAACGCCCAGTAACGGGTGCACCACGATCTTGTCACCTCCCCCCAATCGCGATTGTTGCATCATCATACACACACCGATTTTGCGTGAGCTCCAAGCTCGCGCTCAAAGTGACAGGCAAGATCGATCGCCGTCGCACAGTTTGCAGGGTTACCTGTATCGTCTCATGTTTTTTATCGCAAACCATTCAGACGACGGTGCTGCATATTTTCGCCCAACCATGTCCCCTGTCGCAATACCGAACGCGTCACCCAGGGCTCGAAACCAACCTGCGATCGATGTTCAGCTGTCACCTCCCACCAATCGTGCCCCAATCCTGCGATCGGTGTGCCCGATCGGTTTTTCCTGGCGATCCTGCGATCGATCAAGGGAGGTGACGCGTCCTTCTTCTCCTTACTAGAAAGTTTGTGAAAGTCGGACTACGGTACCTGAAAGGGCTGAGTCACTCTGGCCTCACTCTGACCACATAAGAGTTCTGGGTTGAGGTTCTAATTCCCACAAGGTTGATTGTCAGGACACCCTGTCCACTCATGACCAGGAGATTCAGATCAGAACGCTACTTGTATCAGGGTAATAATATATTGCAAGTCTATAACATTAGGCTAGCACAACAATTTACCCCTGATAAGGTCACTATGTTGGACCCTGGTCAAGAAAGATACATAAGCGCCTCTATACAAATGGTGCATTCTAATCGAACTACCACTGAGTCAGAACACGTGGCAGTGTGCTATTGGAGCTTGCCTACACTGTGATATCCTCTGACCTCCAGACCAGGGAGATATCTGAAGCCTAATCTGTTTGCTGTCCGCGTAACATGCAGTATTGTAGAGACCGTTACAACACAGTTAGCCGATTCTTGGAGGAACACGAACGATGCCATCCTTATCGACAAAGATACGAACACGGTTTGTGCGATAATCCATTGTGGCGAATCCCCTATTCGGTATAATTCGCACGTCCCAGTTACACTCTGGCATGGATGTCAAGATGTAATCGCGAGCCTTTTCGCCCGTCATGCCAACCACTTCTGGCCACGATGTTTTGCTGTTATGGGCAAAAAACGGGAAGATGTTGGAAATATGGTTTGAGTAGGGAGCGGTAAGAGATGGGAAGGCAGTTCATGGAAAGGGGAAAAAGTGGGAATGCGTTGGAAGGGAAGAAATGAGGGGAGGAGGAGGGGGGCGATGCGAGAGAGGGAGAGATGGCGGGAGAGAGGGAGAGGTGGCAGGAGGAGGGGTGAGGGGGAAGTGCATGGGAGGAGGGGACAGAAGAGGAGAAGAGGGGATAATGGGAAGGGTCGGAAAGAAGCTTGAAGTTTAACAATTACAGGAATGGGAAGGTAGGTCTGAGAACTAGGCCATAACACGATATCACCCTTGATGCAACAGCTTTTCGATCAAAAAAATAGATTCATAAGCATTCCAATAAAAGAAAGAAAGAAAAAAAAAAATATGCAACCCCACCTGCTACAGTCCTCCTCAGCAATTTGCTTCGGTCGACGCGGCTTATTGGCGCCGCCGCCGCCGCCGCCACCGTTCTTACTCGTCTGGGCGCCACCGTTCTTGTTCGTCTGCGCGCCACCGTTCTTGTTCGTCTGCGCGCCACCGTTCTTGTTCGTCTGCGCGCCACCGTTCTTGTTCGTCTGCGCGCCACCGTTCTTGTTCGTCTGCGCGCCACCGTTCTTGTTCGTCTGCGCGCCACCGTTCTTGTTCGTCTGCGCGCCACCGTTCTTGTTCGTCTGCGCGCCACCGCCTCCGCCGCCATTCTTGTTCGGCTGCGCGCCACCGTTCTTCTGACCACTCGGCGCATTTCCATTCTTCACGTTTCCGTTCGTTGGCGGCTTTGGCGAAGGTCCCCCCGCCGCAGTGCCGTTCCCGCGATGGTGACCCTTGTTCGGATGCCCGCCCTTCGTTCGGTTCCCCGCCGCTGCCGTCCCGTTCGCCCCATGGCGCCGATGGCGGGGGGGGGTGGTGGTGTTTCCCCCCTTAGCTGGCGGAATCTCCCCACCTGTGGGCTGCTGCTTAGGCGGAAGAGTGCGCGAGGAGGCGAAGAGCGGTAGTAGTGCGACGGAGGCGAGGAGGAGCAGTAGGAGGAGAGCGGGTCGAGGAAGCTTCATAATGATCCTACCGAGCGGGCGGTTCGGAAGCTTCGTGCAAAATATGCCGAGTGCCGTTGCTGCGTGCGATTTCGTGCGTGAGGATCTGCTGGGGATGGGAGGGGGTGAAGGCATGTGTGTGAGAGGCATAAGTGAACCAGCCGAGCCGCTGTGACTCCCATCCTCGGCTAGCCGAGCCTCTGTGGCTGTCAGTTTCGGCTAGACGAGCCTCTGTGGCTCTCAGCCTCGGCTAGCCGAGATCATGGGACTCTGTTAGCTGGCCACAGATCATGCCGCAGTCGTCGCGACGGGGATGGGAGGAGGATGGGAGAAGGAAGGGGCAAAGGGTCAGAGGAGGATGAGACGAGGGTGCGACGACGATCGAACAAGCTTGCGACGAGGTCGCGACGAGGATGGGGATTAAGGAGGAAGCAAAGGGTAGGGGTGGACGAGAGGTAATGAGGCGGAGGTAGTTGTCAATCCTGACCGCATGGTTCGCTGTGCCTATGATAAAGTATTAAACAAAGCTGACTCTAACGTAGACCAGTAACGTAGTTCGCAGTACCTGCGATATACGGCGCAACGCTTGGATATTGTAACGCTCGGACCCGAGTCGCCGACGCAAATGCTACGGCGCAACGCGACGCAATGCTGCTGTTTCCGCTGTGAAATGGTCCTGGCGTGGGTAAAGGGGTGGGTGGAAAAGGAAGAGTGGGGAAAAGAGGGGGAGGAGTATTTTGCACTTCTGCTCTTGCTGCGACAAGTTTTGTCGTGTTGGAGAGGGCTCGAGAAGGATGGGGGAGATTGGAGGGGATGAAGTGAGGTAGAGCGCGGTAAGAACGGCTGGTGGGAGAATGCTGCCGAGGTCGTCTCAGAGTTTCGAAGTCGCCTTGGGTCAACATGTCCCGACGTGGACCAAACTTTCAAGGAGACAGGAATGTTAGAGGCCAAATTTTGCCTAGACAGAAACGAAGAGCTAGAGAGGTCGTAAGAAGAGGGGAGAAGTGGTCCGGAGCCGTACCCTGTGGGATGAGTTGGTGAAGAAGAGCGGAGGTGAACGAAATATATCTGGCAATGTAACACCGAACGATCGATCCGGAGCCTTCTAGAACGCGTTCTTGGAGCCTAACTTGTTCGGGACGCCGATGCAATGGTTGCCGCGCTGTTAAACGTGGAGATGCACTAATAGTTGATGGCTTTAGGTGCCTACGCAGTAGCTTTATAAATACTAGTTCCGACTCGAGAGAATACGTATGGCGGACGGAAACGTGAGAGCACGGAACGGGCGACAATGTAAAAAAATCGGACTTTCAACAGGCGAAAAGCTGCTTTGAACCTGAGTACATACAGCAATGCTGTGTACGAGTCGCATAAAGCCTTACTCAGTGGTTGATAACTTAATTTTTACGGCTTCTCGAGCTTCGTCCCAGTTCGACCCCTTGCCCCAATCACCAATATCGTCGGGGTTGATTGGGACGTGAGGTTCCCGCCTGATTTGGCGCACGTCCCAAAGGCGCGCCGCGCAGTGCGATTCCAAGGCTGAGTTTGATCTGCCAAGCAAATGTACCTGTGAGAACAGCCGAACCGTCCGATCCAATCCCATGCTGGTGACGGTGACATTTGCGCGGCGCCCCAAATGTCAGAACTGTTTCGAGGGTAGCCGTCACAATAGCCCGCGTTACGTCATTTCTAACAGACCTTGGGTTGGGAAAACGGCGGGGGGTGCAGCTGTCACTAAGGTCTGCGATGTCGGTCAGCAAACACGACGAGCGATCGATTCTCGACTTCAGAAAAAAGTGCCTTGCCTCTGGTGAGTGCGTACGGTACCAGGCGGATTGGACGTGAGCCAATGCCCTTTTCCCGCCAATTAGCGTGGCCCGCTGGGGCAGCATATGAAAGTGAACCATGAACACGAACGAATATGAGGGGGGTCCGATTCCTGCCTGAGAAAATAGCATCAAGCGACTGCAAGTCAACGGGGTCTTGCGCATGCGACCTGACCTGACCGACACATCTCAACACGAACCACTTCCCCCCCCACCCCCTTCCTCTCCCTTCCCTCCGCGATAAAAAGAGAATCCATACAACCTCAATACTTGCTGCATAAGAAGCACACCTAAGATGAATGCAACAGTATTAGAAAAACAGTTTTTAGCGAATACACATCCAAAGGATGGCACTGGCGCATATTGGTTGAGGATCGACGACATGAAATTTCCCATGGAAAAAGCATACACAGGCTCAGATACACAGGCACATACACAGATATACGCACACACTGACACAGATACACACGCGTGCGTGTAGGGATTGGAGCAGTGCTGGCTTAGATGAACGGGGGGGTGGAGAAAGTAGAAACCTTTGCGAACCGGAGCTGCAACTCGGCCGAGGTGAAATGCTCATCATACAACGGGGAGGGGCTGGCGGTGGTCTGGGAAGATTCATTCCAGGGTGTACTTGAACGGGAGGAAGTTCTTGCTAATCATGGACCATCACCCATTGCTGTTGCTGATGCAGACTCCAGACCTGGCAGCCGCAACGCATGGTGGACGATGAAGCTGCAGGAGTATAATTTTGAGATGAGGCATCGCTGGGGGAAGACCATGCCGCACATGGATGGTGATTGCGAAGCGAGCGGACCAAGAGAGGGAGTGTGGTGAAAACAAGGGAGGGTCGTCAGATATATGGGAGAACTTGGAAGTGCCATTCTGGATCAAGGAGGCAACAGTGGAAGAGGGGACTGTCTGAGCCAGAGCTGGGGCGCGAGGCAAGCACTACTGCTGGTTTTGAGGTCAAGTGCAGCTCCGTACAGCGGAAGGATGAAAGCATGTGCTAGCGCCGGCAAAACGAGAAGGCATTATCAAGGAAGTGCATATGAACCTGGGACACTTTTGGCCACTTAGGACAGACCAGCTGGTTTAAACGGGCTGATAGTGAACTGGCTTGAGGCAGGTCAAAAATTAAGTGGGGGAGTGTGAAGCCTGTGGCCAGGCAGCATTGGAGAGGGAGAACAAAGAGCTACAACCGATTCACATAGTGAGTCTGGGTTACTGGTGGTCACTAGATATAGCAGAGATGTCGAAGAGAAAGGCCCCACTTGCGCTTGGGCGCGGCCGATCTCCCTATCGACGAGAAGAACCCGACGAAGTGGTCGTCGAGTGGGCCTTTAATAGTCGACCAGGCCCTTCTCGACAGGATGCAATCGAGGACGTGGACGGAAGTCGCCGATTAGTGACAGTGGTCGACGAGCTCGCTGAGAGGCGTTGGTTAACGAGTCCGTCGAGGAGCACTGGTTCACACGGTCCATTCGACAGGTCAACGGCGAGTTGGTCGACTGAAGTTGTTCGAGTGCAAAAATTGGAAGGTCTACGAGTTCCGCGGAGGGAGGTTGGGCGAAGTCAACCGACGTGCAGCATCACGTCATCGACGTGGTGCATCAGGCGCAACTGTTAGCACATGATTGACTTGGCTCCTGCGCTATACGCGGAACGAGGCACAACGTGCTCGATCGCCCATCAGCACCTGCAAAGTGGGTTCATATGTGCGCTATAGTCACCTACAACTGCAACGCTGGCAAGTCGCCTTGCTGCAGCGTTGGCAAGCTGCCGTGGTGCAGCGCTAGCAGGTTGTTGACCTGAAGTGTTGGCAAACCGCCTCCCAGCTCCGATGGCATGACGTCGACTTGCTATGCTAGCAAGCCGCTTCCGAGCTATGATAGAGGTCGACCTGCCTAGTTGCTAGGCTACTAGGTTCGAGATGTAGTCACTTTGCCATTGCCATTGCCTGATTGTGGACCCAAATTTTGGTAGTGAAACTCTTGCCAATATACCCTGTGATTGTGCAAGCAGAGAGTACACACGCAAAGCTAAAATAATTCCTACCACCCATGCCTTCCCACGTAGTTCAGCTACCCCTGTGTAGAGTGACTCTCTGTATGGTGCGGTGAGTGTGGACAGCCCCGCGATATACCTTCAGATAGTGATCGACGTAGATGCGCCTTACCTAGGTCGTTGTTAGGCCGGCATCCATGTATACCATATAGGTCACCCTGGGAGAAGTCGCAAGTGTAGAGGATACCCTGGCAGTACGGGAGGCTGGTGTTTGAAGACGCCACGATGCTAGCGAATACGGCAGTGCGTCGCTGCTCTTAGCAACCCATGTACAGTGGGCCCATGAGCATTCTCCTTCCTGTGTTGAAGTAGATGGTGTGTTCGCCTCTCCTCGACCCGTGTGCAACGAAGTCGACGACTGCAACGAAGTCGGCGACAGAGGCACGAGGGTGAATCGTTGAGTGATTCGACCAATCGACATCAGGTATCGGCGGAATGCAAGGGCAAGGATAGTGGTCAAGAGCGTCTGCATGCAGCTCGCACGGAGATGTCGACGGTCGATGTCGTTCTCCACAGCAGAGTGGAGTCAGGACGGGCTCATCGACGCATGTGTCAGCTGGTCAAGATGGAGGCATAATGCTGGCATATGGATACTTAAAGAACTTGTCGGATAAGATCGTGGTGCCGCACCCACTCGAAGGTCGAGACCTAATCATTTGGTCGGCGTCAATTGAGCCACAATTGGAGATTGCGGGACTGAAATCGTTCGTCGAGGGCGACGTGGAAACGCCGGACGAGGCCGACATCAAGCTCCGAGCAGAATTTCGCACTGCTCATTTGCTGACATTCATGGTCATCTCGCGGTGCTGCTAGCCAATGGTGCAGGTCGCACTGAAACCTTGTCGACTGCGTGTGGACGATGGCTACCAAGCATGGCATTTCATCATGAGGACATACACAGCGACCGACGACCTGTGCATCAGCTAGCTTGAGCAGCGTCTGACCAACATTCGGATGGGCGAGCATAAGTCAGCGACGAAGTATTGCAATCGTGCTCGACAAATTCTGGCCGACTTGTGGATGGTTGGTGTCAAGTACTCGCTGGCATCCTATATTTTGGACGCCGTCAAGGGCCTGTTGTCGGGCTACAATCTGATGTGCCGGATGATGTCAATGCCCGGCATGCACTCG